CCACTTCTGCCATTAGGTTTGACCTCTTATACAATGCAGGAATCCAGATTACTGTTTTCCCCACAAATGACTGTGTAATCTCCAATGAGAGGGAATCCACCATTTCCACCAACTGGTTCTTTCATTGAATTCATTTGGTTGACCATTTCCTAATGGTTAACCAAGTGTTTCACATTCTGAAATTAGGGAATATTGTTTCTAACTTCCTTTCAGGAATTTGGTGAGTGCTTGCCCACAAGTGGCAATTCTTATTACTGCATGAGCAGCTGAAAAAATGGAGACACACAAAACAACAAGAGATTAGATTAATCCTCATTGTGATGTCTATATACAGTCAATTGGAATCCTTCAGGAATAACTGACATTCTGAATCATACATACCTCATGATCCTGCAGGTCCTTTTCTAGTTTGAGAACCTTCTTCAAGGCACCAGTGACAATGTTCTTTCTTTTGTGTAAAAAATCTTGCTCTTGAGAACAAAGGTCATATCCCAAACGGAGGTCAAGATTGGACTTACTGAATTAAACACACAAGGAAATAAATGTTAGCATACCTGTTCCATCTTCATATTTGGAATCTTCTTCATTACCTGAAAATGCTAATGATCAAGGAAATCTTGAGTGACAGCTTGGTTCCCCCCCCCCCCCAGTAAACCTATAGTGACTACTTAATAAATGTGACACGAGAAGAACAATTTATAAAGTAATTTGTTTTTAAATGGCAAATGACAATATTTATACCATGTTTTTTCCATAGTATTTATTTTAATTATCATGTGTACAAAACAGAGTGCCACTACCTATATTGTTTCTTTTGCTGTTAAAAGTGACATTGGAATTCATGCCACATCCCTACATATATATTACATGCACATATAATTACAACAGAAATGAAACATATTTGGCCTTAAATAATACAAACACTGCTAATTGCTTTAGGAACATGTCCCCAAACAAAGATTGGAGAAATAAAACATATTAGAACAGAAATAAACAGAATAATTAAAATTGTAGCCATTACCATCCGAGACATGTCTTACCAGTCTTCTGTCTTCACATGCAAAGCAAATTTCTTATTCTGAAAATTCAGAATGCAAATATAGGTTTCTTTACATTGTTAACATTTTTTCATTCCAGGAATCATGTATAATTTCTGGCACACATGTAAAAAAGTGGATATATGCATTTTACCTGCTGAGCCAGAATGCATTAAATTGGTTAGTGGATAGTCCATATTATTCTGATGGGACATATGATAACAAATACTTATGCTTATGATTTAAGAGCTCATTTTTGAGACCACGTGGATATTTCATGGATATTTTAAATAGTTAGTCAACACAGTTTGCAGCAGGATATAGGTTGTCAACCAAATAAAATTTGTAGTCAGCTGAGAACAAGTTTGATGTAGTGATTAAGGCATCACTACAAGCTAGAAACCAGGAGACTGTGATTTCTAGTCTAGTGTTAGGCATAAAGCCAGCTGCGTGACCTTAGGCTAATCACTCTCCATCACCCTTGGAAGGGCACAGTGGCAAACAACTTCTAAGAAACCATGCCAAGAAAACTGCGTAGACTTGCCTAGGCAGTCACTAGGAGTCCAGATTGACATGAAGATATACAAACACAGACACAAACACAGTCAAACAACTATGCAGTTTTTAATGAAAGAATGAATTTATTTACATCCATCTGCATATTACAAGATTCTAGTACACCTTTTCTCAAAATCTTGAAGAATTTTCAGTTTAAGAGTGTTTAAGTTTAACTTTACATTTGAAGTATAGGTTGGTGATAGCAATTCCTGTCTACTATTTTTATCATACTTGGTCATTAATACAATGATGTTTCTAACTTGAGTGTTGTTTTCTGAGATAAATCAGTAAAATTTGTTTGATACAAAGAACCTGGAATTGAAGTTCAAAATGCAATTGATTATATTGAGATGGTATGTTGATTTTTCCACTACTATGTCTGAAGTCCGTAGGATTCAACAGAAGAAACAGAAAAGTACAGAGGACTGCAGCCAAAAAAGCAAAATATTATCCCTTTCCTCTGCATGAATAGAAACACAGTCTATTCCCCAAAGCAACAAAATCTTCTGATTAAATTCTATGGTTCCGCATTCTGTTGCTTTACTTAACTAATATCTTATTACATGATTCCAAGCATGCAATTTATTGAGCATCTTTAGTAAAAATGCATACCTGCATTGTTCGTTTTAGAACTTTTATATTGCAAAAACAGATTTAAAAAAAAAACAATTGATAGGAATTGGTGCAGACCTCCTATTCCAAATTATTTTCATACACATTTGAGATTTTTATCATGAAGATAATACCATCATAACAATAATTTAGTTAGAACATGTGCTATGGCAGAGATAAATTACCTTCCCACTTCCCTTCCATCTCAGATTGTGGAAGAAATCAATTTAAAACACGGAAGCAGTTTAATGCAATATTCAGCAAAATTCTACTCTTACCTCAGCTAATACTATTTTCTTGCTCTGCGGAATTGAATTTACTTCCACTTTTACAGATTTTTCTTCTTTATTATAAGAACATGGCCCCTGGAAAGATAATTACACTTCTGTACCCAAAAGAGTAGAAAGTCGCATGCTATGTAAGCAATCAACACCCAGATAAGCAGAGATTAACACCAACATTAATATTAGATCAACAATTAAGTACTGTAGCCCAGTCAAGGAATTACCAACTGAAACAAACAAACAGTAAACAACAATCTAATAACAGAACCATCAAGACCACAGTCATCACCACTTACAGGACAAGCCGCAAGAATATAAACTAAGAACAAATCCCCTCTCTTGCACTGATGTTATCTAGATAAGTAATGAAATGTCTGCAAGAAAACAACCAAGCTCAGAGAGTCCAAAGGACCCCACAGTTGAACCCTAAGCAATAAATATTCTCTTCTATCAATATGCAAGTTTTGCTATTCTTCAGTATACATTTATACAAAACTGATACAATAAGAATGACAAAAAGAGCCTTTAATAAGAAAATGAAATTTGATAATAAACTCACAAATAAATAATCTAGATCCTCCTTTGGTAATCTAATATCCAATGTTGGATGTTTATATTTAATATAGTGAAATGTAGTTTTCATATAGTAGTCAAACCCCAAACTAAATTCCTTATGTTCTTCATGAGATCCTTTTGCAATAAGATATAGTCTTTTTTCTATAAAAGAAAAGGAAAAGAGTGTTCACAAATGCAATTGCATATGTTTTAATGGTACTTTTTAAGAAACAAAATTAGTCTGGATTTGGAAGAATGGAAGAATCCATCTAGAGTGCATTACAGCAATCCAGTCAGAAGATGCCACTGAATGGATCAGTAGTTGCTGATAAAACAATAATGTGCTAGGTAAGATTATGTCACATTAAAAGGTTATCCTTAATTTAAAATGGAAGGAAGGAAGGAAGGGAGGGAGGGAGGAAGGAAGGAAGGAAGGAAGGAAGGAAGGAAGGAAGGAAAGAAAGAAAGAAAGAAAGAAAGAAAGAAAGAAAGAAAGAAAGAAAGAAAGAAAGAAAGAAAGAAAGAAAGAAAGAAGACAGAGGGAGGGAGAGAGAGAGGGGGAGAATGAGAAAGAAAGAAAGAGAGAAGGAAAGAAGGAAAGAAAGAAGGAAGGAAGAAAAGAAAGAATATAAGAATATTTAAAATGCAGTTTTCCACATCTGGCTAATGTAAACTACCAACTGAAGCTGAAACTAATACCGGAAATTTACTATCCACACAAAGTGTATAATGAGGCCCACTTGTATAGGAACTGTATGTACATATGGATATCTATTCCTGTCAGAAACCACAACCCAACAAATTAATGGAATGAACAATGATAAATCTCAATCACTTATAAAACATCCCATTTATAAAATCAACTTATCTCCATCTTTGTGTACCAATCATTCTCTCACATGGAAAAACTGAAATACACATATGTGAACGCCTCCCCTCCCCTACTCCCTGCAGAAACAGGAAACAGAAATTAAAGTGTTAGCCGTGCTAGACAAGAAAGAGCAAAGACAGGAGAGAGAAAAGCTGGCTCAAGATACACCAATGAGAGCTGCCTACTGACTAAGAGTGACAGGAAATAAAGGAGTTCTGTTAAGACTTCACCCAAAAACTTAGGATTCACCAAGGAAGTAGGCAAGCAACCCTTCCAAATTAAGGTATCCATACTTTTCAGCAGAGAACTCCACAGTTCATTTACTCTCATCCTGGTCTTTTATTCTTCTCAGCAGATCTAAGACTACCCACCAGTCCCAATTCACAAGTAGTGACGTACTGTAGAAAGAAAAATCTAGCTCCATGTTTTTGTAGAGTAAATACAATATACAATGTTACCTAGTACTTCACCCATTTCAAATGATGATATTCCTTTATTAGAAATATTGAGTAGAACTGCCATAGGTTAAAGACTTCATTCTTGATGAATTGTATTTATTTGTTACATTTACTGGCCATCCAACTCCAGAGCAATTCACTTTCCAGTTTAAAAGCGTAGATCAGTATTTCTTAAACTTTTTTCCTCTCAAGAATCCTTCCCACTTTAAAAAACAACAACCATAGAGGATCCCCAGCAGACCTTTTGTTTGTATGAGTTATATTTATCAGTAAGTACCATATCAAAAATTAAAAGTGACACATTTGCTGCAGCTGCAGCTGCTGCTTTCCATGTGCTAGGGATTTTAATATTGTTTTGGCTGGCAAAATTTTGAGGGTCTTGGAGCACAATGTAGGAGACATTGGAGCAGATAAATAATGACAAACAGAAGACATCATAAAGTTGCTTAATGTCGCCTCAGTGAGATGGGTGACATAAAAGTTTAATAAAATAAATAAATAAATAAATAAATAAATAAATAAATGTACAGGAGAAACTCCATATAATACCAGAAATGTCAGGGACCTGGCAGCCACCCTACTCCAAGGCCTGGAAGAAGAGCCAGGTTTTTTTTAATACCATCAGAGTGGGAGCCACACCCTGCATGATTACAGATGCTACACCTTCTCTGAGTTTACAGAAAAAGTAATATTACTTGAGTTCCGCGTCTTTTTCTTCTCCACCTCGACCTCCAAACAGCGGACTTGTCGAGACTATAGAAATACAAGAGGACACTAAATTCAAAATTAAAGTGTAAAATTCCTGCTATTGGTTTTCCCTCTGAATGATAAGATGTATGCCAACCAGCATTGTTTGGGGGAGGTGTGTATGAGGGAATAACATCCATTTCCTATAACATGATATGGCTGAGAGCAATTACTGAAACTCACCTGTTAAAAATATTTAAAGGCAAGTGACAAGTGTTTTGTATGTATGTATATATATGTGTATTTAACTATACATAAAATACATACACATTTAAAATCTAGTAATAGTAATAAATAAAACATATTTTTATATTTATTAAGCTATTTCACTGTTCTATCAGCTATATTCTTTACACATTTAAAACCTCTATTTTTACATGATGTTATATATCCTATGTGGTATACAGCAGGGGTCCCCAACCGCCGGTCCGCGGACCGGTACCGGGCCGCGGAACAACCCTTACCGGGCCGCTGGTTGCTGGGCGCCGCCATCTTTTTTTTGGTAAAAAAGCGCTTCCGGGTAGAAAGTTCACCGGAAGCGCCTTTTCGTCATAAAAAGATGGCGGCGCCCAGTTGACGCCGGTACCGGGCCGCGGCGCCCAGCTGATGTCGGAACCGGGCCGCGGCGTCGAAAAGGTTGGGGATCCCTGGTATACAGGATACACTCTGTGCATAACTGTATACAATTGTGCATAATTGCATATTACTGAGGTAATTATATTTTCAGGAAATGGAATACTGCCATAATCCTAAAATATTATTCACTTTGACAAACAGGATAGAAGATCGACTGTGAAAATCCTAAGGTTTAAGTAGGAGATACTTGAAGAAATCATGATTTCTTAATCAAAAGTTTCAGATATCAGTTAGGAAAAAGAAAAGATATCAGTTGGAAATTGCATTCATTTCATTTCATTCCCTTTTTAGAAAAAGTAGCAGAGGAAAGAAAGTAGATAAAATACTTACCAGAAGAACTCCATTTGTAATGATTATTTCAGAAAATCTTGATCTTTAAAAAAAATACATAATTACTTTGTTTATTCAGCAAGACAGGATATTTAAAGTTATTGTTAAAAAAAAAAAGCAATTTCTAGAAATGTTGAAAACAACAGGGGAAACCAGTAGTAGCTCATGATGTTTAAACTGCAAAGTTTCTTATGAGGTTTTGTCAAAATGCAGAGCAGGATTGCTAAATGGTAGAATATTGTCAGATCTTACTATCAGTGTAGGAAAATATTGCCCAGTATTTCATATAGATGAGAAGCAGGGACATAGTAGATTCTGTAGAGATTATTTAGATTCTGATTTTACCCACCTGTGCAGCAACTCAAATTCTAATTCCAGCTCCTCATTTTCCTGAAATTAGAAGAAAGTAAGTATAACGTTTCCTACTGAAACCATTCTAAAAAGTTTTTTTAGGAATTCTGAGAGTTGTAATCTCACCACAACTGGCACAAAGATGCCGTTAGTGTTATGTTCAAGCACAATATTATCTGGATTTTAACTATAGTTGCAGGATACACTTGTAACACTAAATCATAGTGGGTGAACAGGCACATCAAATGGAGCTAAGATTAGAATAGTAAATAAAAATATATTATTTTAAATCTCTTATGAACTTACTATCACCAGCATGTAAAATGATAGGTTGGGCTGTATATGCAGGTTTGTATGGTTGCATGGTTTACATTTGGATATCATTGATATAATTTCCATTGCTCTGAGAATTATGTGCAAGAACTCAAGTTAGCTGTCTACTAACTCCATTCCATTCTCCATTCTCCATTCCATTCCACAAAAAGATATGCTAGCCTCAAGAAAGGAAAGACTCAAGTTCATCTCTCTCTCTCTAGCTCTCTGGTGTATAACTGATTGTTAACAAATGCTACAATTCTTTCTAGAGGATTTTTATTTTAGAAGTTATCATATTGAGCTCCTGTACTTCAAAATGTATTTATATTTATTTTTAAAACTATATGCCAGACATCTTTGTAGAAACATTATAAAATGCTTTTCAATGATGGTAAAATGATGTTAGAATTAAACAAACAAAAAATAAGATAGAAACAGATTTCTGTAAGCAAATGTTCTCTTCAGTTACTACATAAAAGCCTGCAAACCAAAACAATTGTGGTTTTTTTATATGCTCAAAAATCTGTGTGTAGTTTTGTACCAATTTTCCCTAACATGATTTTTTGCAAGGCATCTTTCACAATATAAACCTACCCATAATATATTTTTACATGTGCATTTTTTTTACTACAGTTTCACTCTTCTGTTAGTAAAGTGTGAAAATAAAAGGATAACTTGCATTCTAGTTTGTATATTCGTTCAGGATGTAAAATGGTTACATCAGTTTGGTGTGTGCATGTGCATGCAAAATAATTGTTTATTCTTGAGTAAACACACAAAATTGCTCTGTTAAAATGTTCATTAAGGTTATACAGACCTTTTGGTTGCAGTTAAAATTCATGAGCACTTTTTCATTCAGTGGGAGTTTTGCTATATCAAAGTGTACAGTGAAAAGATGGTCATCTTGATAGACATCATCATCATGAACACTCAGCTCCAACACATTCTGGTAAAAGAAATAAAAGGTTGTTAAGTAGATATGTCATAAAGGGTAGAATATACATTTGAATGGGGATAGCATTGGGCAAGAAGAGACTGAAAGATTGAAGATTCTTTAGTTTAGGTAAAAGGAGTATGATGTATGATTTAGGTGTATGATGAGATGTGCTGTACATTTCATTCTTTGCTGTTATTAAAAATAGGAATCTGGTTGAACTGATGAGAAAGCAATTCTGTAGGACTATGGAAGTAAATACTCTTTGCATAGTAGGTCTAACGGGTACTCAAAATGTCAAGTTTTGGAAATGGAGGCTACAAATACATTGATTAAGGAGATCTACAGAAGTACCAAAGGTGCTTTTCAAGAGGCAACTGGACTTTCTTGTTTTTCTTTGAATATGTTTTGCTTCTCATCCAAGAAGCTACTTCAACTCTGATTGATGGTGGGGAATGGAAGGATTTATATTCCTTTCAGACAGCAGGTCATAGGAATATAAATCCTTCCATTCCCCACCCATCCAGTTGGAAATGAAGAAGCTTCTGGGATGAGAAATGATGGATTTCTTGGATTTCTCTGATAAAACACCAGAAGCTTGTTATTTTTTATCAAAGAAATTAAGGCTGCATTTGGCTTCATGTTGCAAGCTTTGCCCCTTTTGTGCATGAGTGAGGTTTCATGCTGATTAGTGAAAAGGAATGGGGCTTGTATTGCCCTGTTATAACTTCCATTGTTATCCTCTTTTGTGCCACCGAGCATCCTGTCTGTCAGTGCTTGGATCCAATACACCAACTACATAGAATTCACAAACTTAAGACACAGCATTTGAAATATAAATGAAAATTGCCTTCAAGTCTTTATAAAGGAAAGGAATGAGCTTGGCACATGAATCTCAGACTATACTAACTTTTGACTATCCACAGTTTTCCTAATCATTCACCTCTCTTGCACTGCTGCGATCACACAGCCACTGAAACTAAAATTAACAATGAGTTGCTTACCTTTGCTTTCGACTGCACCATGAAATGAAAGGTTTCATTCCAGACAGGGTCTTTGCAGTTCTGAATGGTCTTTGTTTGGTATTGTGCAGGAGAAGCAGTTGGCAGGTGTAGCTTCGAGTAGCAGTCAGGATGGCTTACTAGTGTGAAAGATCAAAGTGTAAATAATTAAGTGACGGGTGATATTACTTGAAGATTACAGAGAAGATCAAGGCAACATTGGTATATCTGAAGAGGAACAGCAACAGTATATTTTTCTGTATACATATCTCTTAATCCTCCCTCTGATCTGGCCTATATTTGCAATCTAATGTTAGAGGGCATAGCAGAATGATTTACAGGTTGTCCTTGACTTACAACAGTTCATTTAGTGACCATTCAAATTTACAATGACACTGGGGGGGAAAAATGACATGACAATTTTTCACACTTACAACTGTTGCAGTATCCCCATGGTCACATGATTAAAATTCAGATGCTTGGAAACTGACTCATATTTATGATGGTTGCAGTGTTCTGGAATCATAGGATCCCCTTTTGCGAACAGCATAGTTAATGGAGAAGTCAGCTTCACTAATCAACCATGTTACTGACTTAACAACTGCAGTGATTTACTTAACAACTGTGGCAAGAAAGGTTGTAACATGGGGCAAAATTCACTTAACAACTGTCTCACTTAGCAACATAAATTTTGTGCTCAATTTTGGTGGTAAGTTGAGGATTACCTGCATATTGCAAGAAAATTAAAAGCAGGATAATTTCTTTAGTCATAGTGTAGTGCATCTATGTGTAAACTGTGTGGGGTTTGCCCTCTATTTATGTTGTCATGCCCTAATACAATAATTGTTCCAATTCCTACTTATGACTGCAAAACCTGGACTGAAAAAAGCAGATAGGAGAAAGGCGGAAATGTTTGAATTGAAGTGCTGGAGGTGACTGTTACGCATCCCAAAGTAGTCCTAGACCAAACCTCACCCAAAATATCGCTTGAAGCCAAGATTGCCAAACAGAAGTTGTCCTACTTCGGATGTGTCATGAGAGTTGACTCACTTGAAAAGTCAGTTGTTCTGGGAGTGGATCAGCAGATAAAGGAGAAGGGGCCTCCCGAGTATTTGTTGGCTGGACACTGTAAAGCAGGGGTCTCCAACCTTGACGACTTTAAGACTTGTGGCTTCCGGTTTGTCGGCTTCGCGAGCGGCAGGGATTTGCGAAGCTGCGCGATCCCTGCCACGCTAGCCGTTTTTGGGGCTCCGATCCGGACGGGTACGGAGCTAGGCTGCCCTGCAGGGGCAGCTGAAGGTAGGGGGGATCCGGAGAGGGGTTTGGGGGTGTTGCAGACCCCCTCCCTGGCCGGCAGAACCCCCTTTTCCCAGGACGGTGCAGCGGCGGTCCGTAATGGCCGCCACAAAGAAGCTGGCAGCCGGGTAAGAATGCGCAGGAGGAAGTGGAGAAAGTTTTTCAAAGGAGAAAGTTTTTCTTGGTTCCTAGGACTCTAAGACATATTTAACAAAATTCCTGAAAAGTATGATTTTCTGAATGATACCTTCTAGAAGAGGAAAAAAGCGGCAGTTTGATGGTGCTGAAAGGAAAGCTTACCCTCTTTTCCTACGGAATAAATAAGTGGATATTAAGAAACCTATTTCTTTTAGGTGAAAACTGGTTTTAAGCGATGAGTGGGAAGAGAGAGGACTAAAAAAAAAAATTTGTATGCTAAGACTCTATTGGAGGAGATGCCTTAAGGATTTGAAGACTAAAATATATTGCAATAAGATTTTAAGAAATAGATTTGGACTTTCTTTTTCTTTGATTGATACTACCCCAGGAGGAGAAAGTGAGAACTCTGCCTTGGTTTGGACTGATTGATAACTTTGGGACTGTTTTATTTTTTCTTTGGAATATTCTGGTTGTTGTAAGAAGAAAGAAGGGGAAAAGAAAAGATTTATAATGGCTCTTTCTATTGAGGAGCTGAGAAAAGATTATGAACAAGCAAAAAAAAATGGTAAATCTGGTCTGAAAGAAGCCTTCCTTTTTTTAGAAATGGCGCTTATTAACTATCAACAAACATTACAACAGATGAAGACAGCAGAAGAAGAAGAAGGAGAGGAAGCCATTTTTAATAAATTTCAGAACTCGACCAAGAAAGAAGGAAGAGTGAAAGGAAGAGAAATAAAGGACTTAAGATTTAAAAAAACACTTAAGAAAGGGAAAAATAAGGTGCAAAATCAATATAATGATAGTAAACAAAAGGGAAAAGGAACACGACAGAGAAGGGAAGCCAGTAAGGCAGAGGCTAGAAGAAGGGGGGGTAGAAAGGTTTGCTGGGAGAAGAAAGAAAGGGAAAAGGTGGAGAAAAGTTACAAAGTTTTGAAATTAAATGGGAAAAAAGGAATCTTTTTTAGGGATAAAGGATAAAATATAATTTTTTCAAAAAGATTTTGCAAGGTACATAAGATGATATTGTAGTATGGTATTAGAAATAGAAAACTTAAACGGTTTAAGAGTTGATAAGAGATTAAAATGTTGAAATGTTTAATAATGATTGGTTTTAAAATTTAATAATATGATGGGAGGTTTAGAATATTGAGTTTTAATTAAAGAGTTTAATAAGATTATGGTATTGATGTTATTATAAAATTTCTACTATAGTATTTGTTTTTAATATTTAGATTTATTGTTTAACTATATATTTAATTACTTTGGATGTACTATTTAGATAGAATGTACCAAGCAAAATCGGATTGGGTATTGGGCGTTATTTTAAAGGTTAATTTGATTAATTTAGGGGGGAGATAGAAAGGCATCATACTCTGATTAGTGATTTCAGGAGAAACTTCTTTTTTTTTTAATAAGGAACGAGACAAAGGGACAATAAAGAATGGACAAAAGATACAAATATAATGACTCAAATTAAGATGATTAATTAAGATAGAATTAAGAAGAGTGAAATATGTGGAGAAGTTAATATAGAAAGCTTAGAATGGTAAATAAAATAAGTAATGATATGTAAGATGAGCATGAATATAATTGAAGTCCATGAAGAGAGAGATACCTGGGTCCAAGTTACTTTCCAAAAAGATTTTTTTTATGTTTTATGTGTTGTGTGTATATGTTTTTTTTGGGGGGGGAGAATTAATAAAACCTTGCAGAAATATAGAATGAGAATAATGGTAACTAAGTCAGAAAGAAATAGATGAAATAATAATAATGAAATTGAATAAGAGTAAAGAGAAGTAAAGAGAAATTGGACAAGAGGTTTTTTGTATGTTTATATGGAAATGGTTTAAAACAGAATTATAGTTTATCTGACTTGTTAAATTTATAATGGAAAAAGGTTTAAACATGATGGATAATGATGATTTGTGTGTTTTGAAAACTAATAAAACTTGTTTTAAAAAAGACTTGTGGCTGAGGAATTCTGCGAGTTGAAGTCCACAAGTCTTAAAGTTGCCAAGGTTGGAGACCCCTGCTGTAAAGGTTGATGCTGGGATGACCATGGCAGTGTGGGACAAAATGGCATAGAGAGTGCTGATCCATAGAGTGGCCGAGGATTGGACACAACTGAAGGGCTAACAATGACAATGATGGTTTCCCCTGTCATTGTTGGTGGGAGAGGACTTGGAGGTCCTTTGGCTGGGCTGTTTACTGTTAGCTTATTTGGCAGTTCTTTGATTGGGGTATTGTTTACTTCTTGACTCTTGGTCTGATGTTAATCTAGGCTCATCTGAGGGTGCTGATTGATGATGGGGAGGTATTTTGGTTATTTTGCTTCCTTTTTTGACTTGTTCATTGTCTCTTTTGCACAGTATGTAGATGTTTATGTCTACATGTCTATTAATTGAGAGGAAAACCCCAACCCTTACTAGCACTGATGATATTATCTAGTTTGGGAAATGAAACATGTGTAAGAAAACAAGAAAACTTAGAGAGCATCAAGGACCCCTCATTTCAACCGTAAGCTACAAATATTATCCTTTGTTGGCAAATAGATCTTGTTAGCTGGCACTTCTGAAAGTTGCACTGGAACAACAACTGCAGGTTGTGGGTTCTATGTTTGCTTTAAACTGTAAGTTAGAGTACCACTCCTTGCAGTGTAAAAGACTATTAAGGAGAAAAATGAAAGAGTCAGAGAAACATGCTTTCTGGCATGCATTTTCCAAACTCAACTCCCCTCCATATAATCAGAATTTTAAAATGCAAGGACCTTAAGAGCTTGTCCTACAGGAAGAATATATTCAGTAACTAAGCTTCACTATCTTGATTTTCTTTGTTTAAGTTAAGAAAGAACAATTGTGAAGAACAATTCTCAATGAATCTCCTTCAGCAAAATAATCCCAATCCCAGTTTATAATACTATTCTGAAAGGGGGGGGATACACAAAGGGTACTCACACATATCTGCTTTCCGGAGATTCTTTGCTCTGATCACTCTTATGGTAAGGAAACAACAAGGTGCTACCTCTCCCTGCATAATAATAATGTATTGAAAACAACATTAAAGTGTTACCTGCATATTAGAAGTTGGCATGGTTGGAAGAGAGAAGTACTGAGCAGAAAAATGTCATATAGTAGATCTCAAAAAATCAAAGTAAACTTGAATACTTTTTCTAGCAAATATTAAAATGGTTAGGCTTGAATCCCCTAGGCTGACTCAGCCTTCTATTCTTCCAAGGTCCATAAAATGAGGACCCAGTTGACTTTGTAAACTGCTTAGAGAAGGCTGTAAAGCACTGTAAAGCGGTATATAAGTCTAAGTGCTGTTGCTATTGCTATCTGCTAAAGTATTTTTAGTGGAAAAAACCCTCATCCTGTCTGTTAACAATTCTGATCATTAGGAGAGTTTTTCTCATTGTCAACATACACAACTTTTGTGTAATTGCCATTCATTTATTCTAGTTTTGTTGCAATGCACATCAAGATGATGTGTGATATGCATATATCCATTCTTTGCATTAGTTAATGAAATAACATTACCTATACAACATGCTACATAATTAGAGTCTAACCCTTCCTAGAGCACAGAGGAAAAAATGATCACATTTAAATAATTCATCATTTGCACAAGCTGTGCATATTTACAAAAGGTTTAAATGAAATAAACTGACTCGTGGCCCATTATACTTGTAAATTTTCTGAGTTGTTGTTGATGGCATGCAGGTAATTTTTGTATCTACAGACTGCTTATTTAATAAAACCAGAGCTATCATTGCAAAATACCAAGGTGGCAGTGTCATTCTGGAGAACTGATCAAATCACACACTCACACTCAAGAAAGATAAATACAGAGGCTGCACAAACCATTCCCAAAGATGCTTTGTGAAGCAAGGAAGGGTACTTTCCAAATTATTGCTTGAAGCACTGTGGCAGACTTGGCTCTTAAAGGGACAGCAGATCTTCTTGGGATCTTTTCTAGTATAACTCTTAGATAGAACTATCCTCTTGACCCTTTGATCAGTTTACACAATCCTAACAAATGTTTCCGTTAGGAGACAAAGATACAAATTGTGGCTATTTCTAGATTACCAGGTAGTCCTGTGTTCTAGAATAGCAATAGCACTTAGACTTATATACTTCTCCATAGTGCTTTACAGCACTTTCTAAGTAGTTTTCAGAGCCAGTATTTTGCCCCCAACAATCTGGGTCCTCATTTTACCAACCTCAGAAAAACTAGTTAGCCTTGAGCCCATCAGGATTGAACTCCTGGCACGTGGGCAGATTTAGCTTATGATAATGCATTCTAACCATTGTGCCACCAGGGCTCATTACATAAACATTACAAACTGGTTATATAAAAATTTCTTGATTCCCACAGGGGAATAAAACAGAGCATGGAAAAGCCATTGCTAACCTCATGGGATAATGCCAATGACCTACTTAATATAGCATCTGATTTTCCATAGTGACCCATCACAGTCAAATTTATTATTTAGCTTACTAAAGTCAATCAACTCAATAGTACTGTTCTGAACCCAGTAACTGGACTCTATTGGAGTTGGTTCCTATACCTTTAAATAAAGAAATAGACAAATAAATCTAATATTCAGAGGCATGATCCATCCTGACTAATAACATTTGATAACTTTACTCTGCTCACATTTGGTGAATCACAATTTGACTCTTTCCCACAATCTGTAATAATTTCCACAAGAGATGGGTGGGAAGGAGAAAGCTACAATTGCTAAGACACATGCTTTCAATTGGCCCTCACCATGCTGAATTTCTATAGAACATAAAAAAGGACATCTACCACATATCAGGATACAAGTAGAAATAAAGAAGATGCTTACCCAAAAAGGTAAATCTCCAGACACTTCCATGTTGTGATCTGGCAAAACTGTGTAGGCTGAGTGTTCTTGAGGACAGGTGAGGGCAATACTGTGAATGTTCACAGAGGTGTACAGCTTTTGAACCAGCATAAGTAGATAGTTCAAAAATGATTCAGAGCCACGCCTTCTCTTCTGGAACAAAAAAAATTCCTGCCTTACATCACTATTACACAAATGCCAAGTCATGACATACCTTTGAAGAAACCCTTGCTAATAGCATGAACAGATCAATATGTCTTTCCTTCCCAACTTGATTGATATTGATTCTAAAACTACTTTTTTCATGGAAAAACATTAGTTGAAAAGATAAAAATGGTTACCCAGCTGGATGTTAAATATGTTTCTCTTCTTCTATAGTGCTTTTTATACAGGTTTTGAAAAAAAAAAACACCACAACACTAATAAGCAACTGATTCTTAAAATTCTGCCCAATGGTTTCTCAGTTGGAGCCATAGTTCTTATTATTATTTATACAACAATGATAACAGATAACAGATAATCAGAGTTGGAAGGGACCTGGTAGGTCATCTATTCCAACCCCCCACCCAAGCAGGAGACCCTACACCATTTCTGGCAAATGGCAGTCCAATCTCTTCTTGAAATCGTAGCTGCCAGTTCTTTAATTAGTGTTGGCTTTACACATTCATACACATTGAATTCTTCCCAAGAAACTAGGATGTCATAATGTATCAGTGTAATAGATATGAAGAACCCAATAATGTGACCTTTTGCAATTGACTGATAAGAAATTTTGTCAATACACAAATTTTCTAAGTGCTGTCCAAGATATTTTTTTTTTTGGTACCCGGAGTGCTAATAACCACCACAACTGGTTTATGCCAGGATCTTTCAACTTCAAATTTCAGATCTGGATATCTTTTGATCTCCTCCAATTCTTTGTCTTTTATTCTACTATTTTTTGATATTGCCAACATCAATTTTTCACCTTTTAAACACAGTTGCATCTGATGTGCTATGAGCCAAGCCTCTACCATACTATATTTGGAAATCACCCAATATTTTAACCTTCTAATTTTTATGATTTTTTTTCAACTATATATTCCCATCAAATTTTCATTACTGGTACATGTAAATTTTTACAGATGTTCCAGTGAATCATTTTGGCAATTGTGTTATGCCGTTTATAATCAATTTGTGTAATTTTCTTGTACAACCTGAGTATATGATCTAGCATTTATTTTGTTTCTTTGCACAATTTACTGTTTAATGACTTTTCAATTCTAGCCTTGAACACATTATTTCAAATAGCTTGTTTTTTACATCTAAAATCAAGCCTTTCTTTTAAAATTCTAGTTGTAAGCCATTGCCAGGTGCTATCTTTATCCACTTTCCCCTTAATCCTTTGAAGAAATTGACCATCTTTTTCCTTGCCAGCATTCTCTTCTGATTTTTATTGCATTATTTCAATATTCATATTTTGTTTCCAGCAAGTACAGTAAGTTTCCATTTTTTAATTGCATCAGTGCTTGTTTTCTTGACTGTCTTTTATGCAATCAGCCAATGTATGCTATTCTTCTTTGACTGTTTGTTTGACCTGGATAGTAGTTATTAGCTTTCTTGTTTATCCAGTTCAGCTTATGTCCAGTTTATAATTGCAGCAGTGTATGATGATATAGATATGGTCCAGATATTGATGATTTTGATGGTATTTCCATCATTTAATTTTGTCTTTTATATCTTTGCTAAAAATTCTTATATTTATTATTTATTTGTTTGTTTGTTTGATTTGTCAATCACTTACAAGGTAATAGATATAAGTATAAACATGAGTAAGAATACAGGAAAAATGGGGTGAGGTCAATAGTGGTTAGTTTGAGGTTAAAGGAGTGGGGTTAGAGGATGTAACAACAGAGACAGGTATCAATGACAAATTGATCATTGGAAAAGGTATCATTTATCAATGACTGAATTTCTATTTCTAATTTTCCATAAAGCTTCAGATGATCCATATAAAGCTAATGTGATATTTGGTAGTATTTTTTATTGTCTGGTAGCCAAGGTTTGTTTTCTTCAAGATCATCAAAATAGAATGACAAGAGTAATCATTTCCAACCACCAATCATATCTTTTACATGTCTTCCATTATTTTTTCTATAAGCATTATAATGTTTTTACTGACACCAGTTGCTTCCAAACATTTGATGATCCAACTATGTGGAAATGAATCAAAGCACTTTTTCTTTAATTAATTCAAACCATATGTAAATTAGTTTTTCAGCTTTTCTAATTCTCCAGAACTATGTTATCAATCAAAAGTTGATTTTTGTACCACTGGTTTTCCTTTCCTTTCCTTTTTATTCTATTTTCTTCTAAATAATTTTGAATGTTGTCTTATTATGCCTTTGAGTATTTTAAACCTTGTAGACAAGCAGAGGTCTCCAAACTTGGCAACTTTAAGACTTGTGGACTTCAACTCCCTGACTGAGGAATTCTAGGAGTTGAAGTCTTAAAGTTGCCAAGTTTGAGGACCCCTGGTGTAGAGTTTCCTGGTCTTGGCCCATTTGCTTGGTCTTTTGAATCAGAATCAGTCATTGAAGCATTTTTTTTTGAAAAATTTATTTGGGTTTTCACAAAAACAAAATACAAATAAAACATCTTTTTTGAAAATAGCATGGTCCCAGGTTATCACTTCTTCATACAGACACAAAACTCAATTTCATGCTCATTTTTATATTCTATTCCATATCTTATTACCATTTTATATTTTCTACATAGTTTTCCCCTCTTCTAATTTTTTCAACTTTGTTTTTATTATCTCAATTCAAATCATTATATTTATACTTTTGTCTGTCCTGTTACAATTTCACATTATTTTTTCTTATTAAACAAATTTTTCCCTGTAGTTACCAATTAGAGTATGACACCTTTATATCCTTTAATTTTATCCATTCAAACTCTTACTTAAGCTTCAATGTATAGCTTTAAGATTATAGCATTCAATATAATACATAACTTCCAATCGAATTCTGCTTGGTACATTCTTAAAATAGACACTATATTCTTAAAAAGAAATATATATATATATATGTATGTATGTATGTATGTAAATAAAACACATTCCATTCCAATTCAATTCTATCATTAATATGCATTAAAATCTTAACATCTTTAACATTTCTTTTCAATTGAATATCATACTTCCTTGGGAACACTTATAAACTTTCCATAGTTAATTCTCCCCCCCCCCCCCATATTTCTCACTTATATTTTTATAAATCATTACTAATAATTAAAAATGTTCCCATTTAATTCTCTCAATCATTTTAATTCATTTATTTATTAACAAACATCCCACTGCATTACAATAAATATTTTATCCATCATCATATTTTCTAAAGTTATTTCTATTTGTAATATAACAAAGCTATCTTATGTACCTTTGCAGAATCCCTTTTACAATTAAATTTTCACCCATTATCTCTAAACAAACTTTTCCCTGTTTCTCCATTTCTTGTTTCTGTCTTTTACAACTTCTTTTCCTTGCCTTCTTCCCCCTCTTCTTCTCCTTCCCCTTTTTACCTCTCGTCTCTCTACTTCTAACTCTCTCATCTGTAATCCCCTCTTCTGTTGCTTTCTAATATTATACTTATCTTTCAAATTGTTCTTCTTTTTGGTTCTTTTTTCTAATCTTAAACCTTTCGCTCTCTGTCCCCCCTTTTCTTTTTTCCCCCCACTTAAAATTATTTGATCATTAAAGATGGCTTCTTCTTTGTCCCAATCTTCTTGTTCTGCAAGCGTTTCTTGTTGCTTCTCATAGTTCCAGATCTCCATTTCTAAGAACTGAAATACGAAGCCAAAAGAACTTCTCCCTTCTTGTGCATCTTCTTTCCATTTTTAAAGTTCCGTTTTCAGTTCTTCTAAGAGTGATACCATTTTAAAAACTTTTAAACAATCACCCAGTTAATTTTAATCATCTAGATGCAAAAACCAAAAATCACCAAGTAATCCAAATAATCCAAGGCTGTTTCTACTTGCTTCTTTTTTCCACTTTCTCTTCCTGGGGTTCTATTATTTTGTTACCAAGTTTCCATTAAAATGTATCTTTGAGGAATCTTGTTAAAATTTCACTGTAAGTTCCTTTTAATTACAGTTCCATTCCTTAATTCCAGGCAGTCTCCTCCATAAACTCAAAGTAAACCGCACCAAACTTGATTGCAGGAAATACGACTTCAGCAATAGAGTGGTCAATGTCTGGAATACTCTACCCGACTCTGTAGTCTCTTCCCCAAACCCCAAAAACTTTAACCTTAGACTGTCTACTATTGACCTCACCCCTTTCCTAAGAGGTCTGTAGGGGGCGTGCATAAGCGCACCAACATGCCTACCGTCCCTGTCCTATTGTTTCTCTTATTCTTCTTTTATTTTTCTTATATGTACCCATTTCATATATTCACAACTATGTATACACTTGTACTTATTATCTTGTAAACAATTGACAAATCAAATAAATAAATAAATAAAATAAATAAATTTTTCCAGATCCTGCCCTTCTATTCTTTTTTTTCTCCTTTCCAGCTTTTAAAAACTTTTAAATGTCCAGAAATCTTTATTTATCCCTTTGACTTTTATTTTCAGCTTAGATGCCTATTAATGTCAAAGTGGATTTTTTTTTTCAGTTTCTTGCTTAAGTCTCTTAGCTGTCAGTATAAGGAAAGGAAGAAAAAAACCCTAATCCTTTCCCTTCTCTCTCTCCTTTGCAGCTTCAAAATCTTCTTTGGGAACAATGTTGTTAAGTTTAAATTCCAGGGTACCTTATTTGTTGCTTTTGCTGTTTGACCCGGTCAACCAAAACTTTCTCTTCTTATCTTCCTCCTGCACATTCTTTTTCAGTCGAGTTCTTCTTTGTGGCGGCCATTTCTGACCACCACTACAATCGCCTTCGGGAAAGGGAGTAATGGCCAGCTGGGGGGGAGAGATGCGGCTCTCCTCAACCCTGCAGGCAGTCTCCCCCCTCTTCACCACCTCTACGGGGTGGCTTAGCTCCGAAACCAGCCGGCTCAGGGTGCTCCAGCGGCGAGCACGGATCAAAGCCTCGGAGAGATGAGGTTTCGGTCTGTTGCCGAAGAAGCTCAAACCAGAAGTCCGTCTTGAAGCATATTTTATGCAATATTTTATTTATGCAATATTTCATTAAGCTATTTATCTATGGTCATATGTAAGTTATCAGATATTTGAGCCAAAAGTCATGCAATTATTGATTGCCAGAAGTCCAATTTTTAATCCTTTTCACTTGATTTTTAATCATTACTGCTACATTATTATTTTGTCCATTTGATTTTTACTAAATTCACCTTTAAATTACTTTATCTATCTAGCCTTTTTATTATAGTCTTTTTGACTATAACTGGATTGTTTTCTTTTCATTTGTTTTCCATTTTCAGAATTTCTATTTCCATTTATACTTGAATAAAAGTATAAATGGAATATAAGTATACTGTCTATATTTAAAATTGTCTTTTGTTCTAATAACTGGTTTTGCTTAAACTGGATGATTTTGCCTCATTCAATTAAATTTTTCCAGTCTTGCTACTATTTGTTGTTTTATGGTTTCTAAAGTTTCTTTATTTTTCTGGTGCTAAGCCAATATTATTTATGAGGATTGTCTTGAACCATAAGTTTTTTGCTCTTTCATATTCTTTAAATTATTTGCTTCTGTTCCTTCCTTATCTTGTCTTTTAGGAGCACTCCTTTCAATGCTGGCAGTCTGTCTTATCAGTAATCATAATTTATCATTTATGGCTTATCCCTTTGTCATAATTCTACATATGCCATAATCTTCTAATTCTTCTTGTTGGATGGGATAGAGAGGTCAATTTACTGGTTATTTCAGTGTTAATCTGTACTGGCTTTATTATTTCTTTTATAATAAATAAATAAATAAATTATTCTTTTATAATCTATTATTTCTTTATTATTTCTTCCAAATTATCATTTCTATAGTTAATGTGAGTTTTTTCTTTTATATTTGCAACTATTACTATTGGAGATTCTTCTACTATTGTTTTGGGGTCTTCCATTTTCACAGTTTTCCCGAATCTCTTCTAGTTCTGCGTCCCTGAATATTTTACTTCTGGTCTGCTCAAGTCTGCTAATTGTTATTCAATAATATTTGGGAATAAATATTGGATAAATTATTTTCCAATGTTCAAACATTCACTTTAAGTACCTCGGTTTGTTGATTCTTGTTTATAATAGCAGCTCAAAGTGATGTAATTTTCAAAGACATGTTTGTCATGTCTGGTTGTTGCCCATCTATAGCTCCTGAGTCCCATTGCCCAATTGTTCACAGATATCAAGGAACACTAACATCTGATATGGTTCATTATAGCATCATTGTTAGAATTGCAAAATCATGCCAATAACTTCTACAATATTAATGACAATCATTAATAATTGATAGCAACAAATCCCTTGGGAAGAACTTGATAGGTGGACAAAAATGGCAAACCCAGTCTAAACATCTGGCTGTCTGTGCACCAACCATAATACTCTCCATAGGTATCCATTTGTCGGGTGAGGGGCTTGTGATGCTCTGATGAGATTGAAAACTATGCTCACAATAGCATATTCTACCAGCGTATCACCTATGTCAGACAGGAGAGCCAAACTAAGTTTATCCATCAACTCATTTAATATGATAGGGAAAGAAAAGAATCCTGAAGCAGATTAACTTAATGACTACATAATTCACTTAACTGTAGTGATTTGCTACTGAGAGAAAAAAGGGAGTAGAATTGGGCGCAATAAATAACCGCCTTACTTAGCAATGGAAATTCTGGTTGCAGTTGTAATGATAAGTTGACTATTACCTGTGTGTGTCATCAAGTCATTTTCAACTCCTAGCAACCAGAGATACACATACACGGATGATACATAGACAGGATGCTTATTGCAGAGCAAGGCCTGTTTAAATAATTGCAAACCTTGGGAAATATCATCTGGTTAGCAGTTGCCAATTGCACCTCTGTTCTGGTGCCAAACCACTAAGTAACTGACTTGTCCTGTCTCTGCAACTTCACTCACCTTCACTGTCTTCTTTTTCTCCAAAGTAAAAAAAAAAAAAAGTGTTGGTGGAAATAAAGTACAGTGTCAAACCTTGCTCTTTTAAAATGCTGCTAAATCAGGGCTTGTACATTTGGGTTCTTTTATCAAGCCAGAATGAAAGGAGAACAGCTGGAAGTCAGGACAAGGAGCAACAGGTTACTTATTTATTTTGCAAGCAAGGCAAACTATTCTCAATGCTGGCTAGCCTTAAACTGATTTTCCTTTTCGCGGAAAGACTATCATAACTGATAGCTTTATCCACTAACCACAAACTTCCAGTTTGATTACTGGGCGCTCATATTGTTAAAAAAATAAAAATCTGTACTTTTTAATTCAGAGGAAGCCTTAGGATTGCACTGTAACAAGGTTCATAACATTTTCCATTCTGCATATGCATAGAGCAGCAGAGTGCTCCTGACCACTCATTCCACTGTCATTCTTGATGCAAATAACTATCTTACGTCTATCTTTTCAGACTTAACATATCAAAATTTCAAATGGTGTGATGGGTGGATGTCAGGACAAAATATACAATGCATTTCCCACTTATGAACATAATTATAGTTGAATATCTAAAGAGGCATACCTACAACACTGACATATTAACAGAAATGTCCACAGGGCTGGGATGATGCTGTGTCATTCTATGACACACTTGTTTGTCTTTAAAATACAATAATGCTTTGCTAATGTAGAAAGTAATTAATTTCAGAAGGGGGAAAAAAAGACAACCACAATCCATTTATGATGACGCATAGAAAGGAGTTTAATTCTTGCAGCAGTGCTGCCTCTTCCGTTCTATCGCTGCATGCAAAGCTTGAAAAATCAGGTGCTGGTTATTCAGGATGTTGTATTCACTTAGGTTCACAAGCTTGTCAAAATCCTCATCTGAATATTTCAGGCAGTAAGTGGAATATGGGGTTTTGCAAGTGGAAACGTCAATGTTGCCACCAGCCATATCGGCTTCGGAGCGCCTCTCACCTTGAATAAATAACAACAAATTGAAGGTCATTTTTACTATTAGCTTATTTCAGGAGGGAAAAAATACATTTTATGAAAAGATTTTAGCATCTGGACTTTATTCTTTAACTCTTATCTAGCTTAATATAAATGAGTACACATTTGATCCTGTACCCATTGGCACAATCTTATTTTTGCCAAATAAAGGCTGCTGTCATATAGCCTCAGATACAGCTTTTCAGGGGAATTCAGCCTCTTCAGATTTGTGTTTCTGAGGTAAAAGAGAGGGCTTCAAGTTCAGACAAGAAAATTCAATAATGCCCTCTTCCCTTTATCACTGTCTATTGGCTTTTGAATTTGACTGGTCCATAGACATAGAACCACAGTGCCAGAAAGGTAAAAGAGAGAGATATTGGTAGATACCAGTCAAAGTGTATCAGAAGATATGAGAATAAGAGCATCAGAAAATGTGTCCCCCTCCCTCACTTCACAATGTCCCTAATCTAATCAATGATAAATTTTGCAGGGTTAGGAATAGCAGCTTCTTTCCTGACTATCTGGAAGGTAATTAATATTGATGATGATGACCAAATAAACCATAGCCAGTTGCCTGATAACTACCAATAACTTACCAGGTGCACTATAATATTGGAAAGTATCATTCACTAATGGAAAGAAAACCAAGATAGGGCAACCAGATGCCTCTGACTGATTGAAATAGTAGCATTCTTTCAGGTGTTTCTTGTCTTCATCTGTTAAGACAACATTTGGAAATGGGATCCCTTGTTCTTTGTAGTACTTGCAAGCATCTTCTAGAGGCTATGCTCATATAAAAATCAAAGAAAGAGATTTTATGAGAAATGAAAGCAAACAATTGTGAATATTATTATATTGCACTACAATAAAACATCAATTATATAGTACCAGTTTAACAGAAAAGCTTGAGTTTGCAAATCCAAGAATTAGAAATTAAATTCAACAGAATAAGTTCATGGTGAAATCTTTCTCTTCTCAGTATTAGAACTGACAACAAGTAAAAGTTGTAGCAATACAATACAATCATAAAAATCAACAATATCTGATCTTAGGATTTAATGATTTACATAGACTGAATAATCTTACATTTGTATACAAGTGACAATTTGCTATGAAATAGCCTGTCTTCAAGCATGGGCCTATTTTCTAATACTGTGTTTGTGATCTTGATTTAGAGATTTAAACACATAATCCAATTTGTTCCTACTATCTGGAGATCAGGACTTTAGGAATTGAAGCACTTCAGGCAGTTGCTTAACATAAGGCTGAAATATGTTACACAAAAATATTACTTCCTTATTGTTTATTTAATCACATTTGTATAGCTACCCATTTCACATAGATATTCTGGATGGTATATATAGTAATAATCAAAAATATATTAAAACCATTTCTGGTTGAGAGCCATGGCAAATTAGATGCTCCTTTTTGCAGTGGGATGGTGTTACAATGGGATTATGATCAAAATCCTTTCTGGATTAAGGAGAAATCTTTGAGCTTGCCCTTGTCTACTCTGCACAGCTGCTTCTTGTGAGTGAACCACAGGTTATGAAGTTTTTGTGGTCACTTTATGATTGGGGGGCATAATGGCTCGACTGTTAAGACACTAGGCTTGTTCAATACAGCTCTCACTTGGTGTTCATGCAAGGTGAGTGGCTGGGAGTTAAAGGGCTGGTGGCTGGAGCTACAGGGTCAGGTCTCTTGACCTCATTGTGGGTGAAGAAGGTGTTCAACTCCTCTGCCAATGAGGCATCAGAGTTGACTGTCTTCATCATATTGTCCTTATAGTTGGTTAGATGCTGCAGTCCCTGCCACACCTGCCTCGGGTTGTTGTCTGCTAGATGGTTCCCCACTTCTCATCCTTTTATTTATATTTTAGTTTAGCTATCTTGATGCCTCTCTGTAGATTTGCCCTGGCCTCTGTAGATTTGCCCTGGCCACCATACTTTATAGTATGGTGTCAGTGAATTCTATGATAGACTTGCAGGGCCAGCACCAAGGAGGCTCATTTCAATTTCATTGGAGACATGTTGACATTTGATTGATTGTTGGCTGGAAAGCTGGTAGCCTAAGTTTGACACTCAAGGTGGAATGAGCTCTCATCCTCACCCCAGCTCCTGCCAATCTCGCAGTTTGAAAGCATGCAAATGTGAGCAGATAAATAGGTACCACTTTGGTGGGAAAGTAACAGCGCTCCGTGATATCATGCTGGCCATATGACTGAGATGAGTACTGCCTCCTATAGGCAATGACTCCTTTACTTTTACCTTACGAGCAGAGAATCTCAGAGCTGTGGAAGGATCCATTTCTGCTCATAATCATGAACCCAGCCACTTTTAAGGACCTAAAGCTTGACCAAGCCTCACAGCTTCACCACTTTGGTCTTGCTTTTATTTTTGTTGCTTTAGGAGGATTAACTCCCTTTGGAATGGCAAGTTATAGAGTGTTGACTGGGCGAGTTGCCTTCTCTTTAGAGAAATGATTTTTAAATATGATTTTAAAAGTTTTTGAGAGGTATTACTTTTTTATTTTAACAGCAAAAGAGTATTTAGAATATGGATTCTAGAAAATTAACAATAGATTAAGGGCTCAGACAGACTTGGAATTGTAATTTTAAACTATGGGAAATATTCCTCCAGTGGGAAATTATAATTATTTGGACTTTCTTTAGTCAAAACAAGATACTGGAATTTAAAGTTGGATACTAGAGGGAGGTTGAAGATGGGGGAAAAAAAGAATGGAAATAGTGGGTTTTCTGATGGAAGTTTGTGGAAAATTTTGAGTTTTTAGAAATGATGGGTAAATGGACTATTAAGAAAGTAACAGAAGAAGAACTAGCCAATCTGGATAAGTTTGAAATCAATTTGAATACAGATATACAAAATGCTAGCAACCTCACAGAGACTCCAGAGAGTTAATTTATAGTAGGCTCCATGCCATCATGGGATCCCCAAGTTAATTCTCAAAGTAATGTTTTCAGGGTTTTGCAGAGGCCGCCAGGCTGGGTCCACCCTTGCCTCAGGAGGAAGTATAATTTGAGAAATGAGATAAATTAATAAATAATATAGTACTAGAAGCAGAGAGAAGCAACTAATAGCAGTCAAGGAGATTGTTTTCTCATGAATGGTAGCAGGAATGTCCAGGTTGGTAGCTATGACTGTGACTGTGACACAGATTGTGATTGTGCAATCAAAGCCTTTGTCCTTGTTTATATGTGCCTCACATGTAATATATGTAAAAAAAAAGGAGCAGGGCTCTTACTGTGGCTACTTCTCTCCTCCTATGGACACCCCTTACTGAAAGGGTTAATATTTACTCTCTTCCCCCCCCCCCCCAGTTTTTATCTTTTAAAAGTGTAATCCTACTCTCATTTGAAAGCAGACTCATTGAGCTTTATGGAAGTTCTTTCAAAACACACAAACATAAAATTGCATAAACATGGTATATTTTCAGGTATGTCCTCAATCTTTTCTTTTACTATTAAAAATATAACACGTGTGGACAAATTTCACTGAGATTGTTATATCTATTAAATGCATTGTATAGCTTCCACCATATATAGCAGACTTAAGAAATCAAAGCAATAAATAAAATCTATTACCAATGTTTGTGAGCCTGCACTGAAGCTCAAATGCAGGATGACATCCACTTTCCTCTCTAGCCTTAAGAGTGGTGGGCAACTTGTATTGATGAAAAATCCAGCATCCACCAGGCCGAGGTGATCGTCATATTCTGTTAGCTGATTGGGACAACAATCCAATGTAGTAGCTGGAAAGGAAAGACATTGCTTTGACATCTGGAAATAATGTGATTTAACTGCATTAAATTCAAAGTTCTTTGAGGAGTTTTACTCATCCTTTTGAGTCTACCAAAATATAGCTTATGATTTGCTGTGTGTTAAATATGCTCCTCCCAGCAAAGTATGTCTATTTAATTCTGAAATTTAAATTTTAAATTCAACAATCCCAGACCATGAGTTATAAGGAAATCCAGAAATTATTCTAGAAATTGTGCAGTATGTAAATTGTCTGTTTATATTAATTTTACTAATATTGGGTAAAATAAGTATTGCATATCAGTAAATGGCAGTTGAAGTATATATAGTTTGGTGTAAGGAAAAACAGCACTGCTTTTAAAATGTATTTATTTATGGGAGGCCAATAGAACTCAATGTTTATATAAAACCAGTAATTATTAAGGTTCTGAATGTATGTTTGTATGTTCTAATGGTAACTGGACTTGTTTCTTTTTTTTCTGAAATCTTTGTCTGATGGTTAAGATGATGGGCTTGTCAGCTAGAAAGTTGACATCCCAGGTGCAACACCCAAGTGCAGGCCAACTGAGTGAGGTCCCATTGCTTGCCCCACCTCCGGCCAACCAAGCAGATTGAAAACATGCAAATGTGAGTAGATAAATAGGTACCGCTGTAGCAGAAAAGCTTATCACATTCTATATTTTCATACTGGCCACATGATTATGGAAGCATTTCTTTAAAAAATGCTCCCTATGCTGAGAATCAGAGATGCACACTGACCTCTTGACTCAGTCATGAGTGGTTATGGGAAACCATTAAACTTTTAAACCTTATTATTATTTATTATGTTTGTTGCCCATCTCACTGTGAGGCAACTCTGGACCTCCACTTCTGGATCATAGCCTAAAGTAGCATATATAAATGATATATAACATTGTAATATTATTATGTATTCCAACAAAGTTTTTGGTGTGGTCCCAAAGTCTTTTTAAAATTTGCTACTCATTAGTTACTTTGCTTAATGCAGTGGAAGGGAGCTAATATACAAAATAATCATACAAAAATCATACTAACAGTTTTTAATCTGGGAAGATATGCCTTTGACATGCATTTTGAACCCCAATTTGGACCCAAACTCGTCAGCGTATACCTCCAACCTAACATTTTAAACCCAAATGCAGTCATGTAAAAATACATTTTAAAAGTCTAATCCTAACACCATATTAATGATAGTTACAAATCATACGTGCTGTTCACCTTTCCATCTATGAAAATGTGTATTCTCCATGTAGCAGTCATGCATCTGGAAACCCTTCAGAAAATTGTGATACTGTGCAACAGCTAGGCGATCTGTTAAAATCCCACGAAGTTTCATGGCTAGATCTCCAGGTGGGACAAACATGCGGCTTTTTAGCTCATAAGGTTTTGTAGGTAAGTGTGGGTCTTCATCTGCAACAAAGCACAAAGGATAAGAAAGGTATTTTTCCTAATTCAGACCTGTATTACCATTTCAAAAGAGTTGAAGACTAATCAAGAAATGAAAACAGACCCAGGCAAGTACTTATTGGTAGATTTTAATTTTTTTAAAAAATAAGATGGGAGAAAGAAAGTCTGGATACAGATTCAATCCTATGATGACCACTTGATGAACTAGAGATTAATCTTGTTAGAAGCAAAAGAAATGGATTTAAAGTTGGCTTATTTGATCAGGGTTAAAATATGGAATGTTTTATAAAATTCTGGAAACCTTCATAGACATTTTGCGGATGTTTGGACAGAAATGGCAATGATTTTTGTATCTATGAATGTGTAAGGAGGAGAGGACACAATGGGAATAAGTAAATCATGTATGTAAACTCACAGGGAGTGAGGAACTATTAATTTACCTGTACTTGGTTCAAAGAAGATCAGGAGTCACTTCTTTAAATATTATTTTTTGAATCTTTTTTTCCTTTTTTATTATGTTTGTATTATCTTTTACTATTGTGAAACTCTAATAAAAAGTATTTTTTTTTAAAAAAAAAAGATTAGTGTATACTGTATATACAAAGTAGATAAATTTTCATTTCCGTTTCAGAATAAGTCCCTATGTTCTGACAATAGAAATAAATTAAAACTTGGAAATATTTTCTTGTTATTCACCCTAAGGCAGGGATCTCCAACTTTGGTGACTTTACGACTTATGGACTTCAGAATTCCTGAACCAACATTGCCAAGGTTGGAGACCCCTATCCTAAATCACTTATTTGGACCAATGGATTTTGGCAAAAATATATAAAATAAATATATGTTTAAACAAAACCTGAAGTGTTTTGAAATAAATTGTTTCAAGATTGCAACAAAACATTCCCAGTATAAGACCCACTCATTGTGCATGTGAGTACAATGGATCGTCACCAGGACCAGAAGTTTAGTCATCAGAGCTTTAGGTCTCATGCTGGAGCCCATCTTCAGGGAACTTCTCTCTAGCAATCTGCACTCTCCTGGAGAGAAGTTCCCTGCTAGAGAGAAGTTCCCTGAGGATGGACTCCATCATGAGTCTGAAAGCTCGGATGACTAAACCTCTGGTCCCGGTGACTGACCCAGATTGGATCCTGCAACATTATCCTGGGACACATATATTCACTTATTATTAATGACATCTGTGGCTAGAGCTCAAAATGAATTAGAAGGCAAATGTAATATCACGAGCTAAGCCCTAGCCCTTGCCTACATGCATTGGCTTTGAAAGCACATGCACAATGAATGGGTCTTGTACTGTGATTTTATGTCCACCATCTTGTCCAGTTTGACCTCTTCTGACCATGCAACTGATCTTGGGTTTCATGAGCAGCCATCATTTCTGATCCATCTCTAACTTTACATTTTACATTTCTATCTAAAGACTAATAGCAGTATGGCTTTCCTGATATTAGGGTTATGTTTCTCATGAGGTTCATTTCTCTTTTAAGGCTACAGTACCAGTGTCTTTTGCTAAGATAGGCTTGTGTTTATTGAAATCATTTAAAGGAAAATATCCTCAAAACAACCCATTTGTGGACTGAATGTAGAATAGATTCACACATGCTGCTAAGCTGTGATTTGTGTAGCAATGATTTACTGAATAAAACCAGAGATGGCTTCTGCAGTTCCTTCCTGCAACACACTAAACCATATTTTACAAATCACAATGGCTTAGTCTACACAGCCTAAACCAATCAAGCCCCACATCAACTATAAAATCTTGTCAGGTTTTTTTATCCCAGGTTTTTGTCCCACCTATATTGGTTTAATAGTGGAAAAACCGACAAAGCAGAAGCAAGAAGAATAGAGTAGAGTAGAGTAGAGTAGAGTAGAACAGAACAGAACAGAACAGAATAGAATAGAATAGAATAGTATTCTTTATTGGCCAAGTGTGACAAGGAATTTGTCTTGGTGCACATGCTCTCAGTATACATAAAAGAAAAGATACATTCGTCAAGAGTCAAGAATCATAACATAAAACACTTAATGATAGTCAAGAAAGATACTCGCCAATATCTATAAATTTGTCTTGAGTCCATTGATGCCAGAATTCTTCTGAACTGTTAACTCTATTCCAAATATACAACAAGTTGAGTGAAAATATGCTACTCCACATACCTATGGGGGAGGAGAATGATAACGTTACTGGCAACCTAAAACAGTTCAGTTGAGAATTGTCCTGTCATTCATCTGACCCAGATGATCTCCCTTCATGTGTTAGTTTTAGTTTTGTTTCTTTTTTTCTAAGAACTCAAAGCATTATGTATAAGCCACCTCTCCATTCTTCACTCATAACATCAGCCCCCAAAACAGTGATAAATCTAAAGTCACTAAGCAGTCTTTCCCGACTGAGCCTGGACTTGAATCTGGGTCTTCCCTTGTTCCTCATTCTTGATTTCTCCATAACAGAGGCTTGTCTAAATCTCTGTTTGGAATGCCTGTGTGAAAATGGGCATTTAAAGAGTTGTAAACAGTTGTAAACAGAAGGAAGTGATCAAGCTGGAGGCTACTGCAAATATTTAATGAAATATTTACTACCTTACTATGTTCTGAATGGAAATAGAAGGACACTCATACTCATGAATATTTTATGTGCTAGGTTTGGGTATATATTCACATGCAGAAAGCTGGGACACTCATACTCATATTATCACAAATAAATAAATGTTTCTTCATTATCATTTCTTCATTATCATGGTTACCTAGAGGGCTCTACGTTCTCAGCCTGTATTTTCTTTTGGAAGCTTATGTTATTTGGTTGAACATTATTTGGCTTCAGAATAAAGCCAGAAGTCTATAATTCTTTCCCCGCCCCTTTCAAATATATTTGCTGCCCATCTTGAGATTCAAGGCAACTCTGATAATTAATTAATTTTGTCCAAGATCTAAACAAAAAGACTGATAGGTTCTTGTTAATTATCTTAGAACAGCCAAGAGTGATAATGAGTGGTCCTCAAACTCTCGTCATCCCTTACCAGTGACCATATAGCTAGGCCTAATGGAGGTTGGAATTCTATAACATCTGCAAGATTTGTGTTAACTGTCCTTAAATCAAGAATCAGATCAGAGGCCCACCCATGAGGTGCTGAATAATAATACTTTGACATTCTATCAGATAATTGATCACATCACCATGAAGATAGCACATCCGGGTTTCTGGAAGCTTCTTTATCAGGTGGCCCATGAAAAATTCACTTCCAAAGTCCTCAGGATGCACAAATGCTCCATACTTCAGAAATCCCACCTCATAGGGTGTAAATTCTAGCCATTCTGGGGAAAAAATAAGGAAAAAATAATACCTAATTGTCCTAATTGTAAAAAAAATTGTAAACAAACCTGCAAAGCAAAAATTATTTCCATTGTGCAAAGAGGGATGACATTTGGGGAGAGAAACCTAAAATTATCCTTCTACTGGCCATACAAACATTTTCATTGATCACCATCCTGAATCATTTTGCTTCATTGACTGCATCCAAACAGTTGTAGATGAAGACAAATGTACTCTTTCAAGTCCTATGGGAAATTCCAGAACTATAAACAGTATATACACAGAAAACAATGTTACTGGAATTAGAATGTAAATAGGATGCTTTGGTTAACTATTGTGCTAAACAATTGAAGCTTGCTTGCTTAATTTGGACCTGTCATCCTCTAATCATTCTATCCCAACCATAGACTGGTAGTCAACCAATCTATTTTACAGAATTATTATAGACATAATTAGAGAGAAGATCAGCTGCCTTGAGTTTAAATTAAAGTTTAAATTAAAATGTATTTAAGTTTACATTGAAATGTATTTAAATTTTAAATAAATTTGAAGTGCATTGTTTTAATAAGTTGTTTGTTGCCTGTAGCCACTTGGATCATAATAAATTGAACAAATTAAAAGAAAAATAAAACAAAATAATGAAAAGTTAACCACCTTGGGTTTTGAATTTTTTCTTGGTTCTCAGTAACAAAAGAATATTTCTTGTTGAACCCAGATTTTTTAAAACCCAGATTTCCAATGAAAGGGCTCTTTCTTTCCATTTTATCCTTACATACATGTACAGACAAACAGTTAAATGAAGGACCTTACTGTTTATGACAATATGAGGTATATTTATTTGCTTAGGAAAGCCAAGGCTGAAATACGCTCATGAGATTTTTTTTTGTTTATTTGTTTGCTTCCTTTTTAATCAGTGGAACCATACCTTTCTGAAATGCAAATATACAAAATATTTTAAAAAAATCTTTGCTGCTTTAATGCTTTGTCACAAAGGATGGCAGCCAGAAATAACTGAAATGATATGCCGAATTACTTAAGAATATGTTGAGAAAACCAGTTTGGTTTAATGGTTAAAGCTTGAACCCAAAAGACTATGAGTTCTAGGCCCTCCTTAGGCACAAAGCGAGGTGGTTGACCTTGGCCAATTACTCTTTCCCAGCCCTAAAAACAAGGTAATGGCAAACTGTATCTGAAAATCTTTCCAAGAAAATTGAAAGGACTTGCTCAAGCAATTGCTAAGTCTGACATAATAGTAATAATAGTAATAATAGTAATAATAGTAATAATGTAGGAAAAAATAGAAACAAGCCCACCATTTTGATTATAACTTCTCAATATATATTAGTAAAATGCAACCACAGTTCAATAGAATCCATCTTCAAATAAGTGGAACTAATTGTTGGATTTCCAGCCTTTATTTTTAGATTACTCGCCTAAAATGAACACTGCAGTTCGTCCCATCAAATCAGCTTCATTACAAATATATATGGGAGATAGGATTATCTATATTTCATAAAGCAAAATCAGTCTCATTCTATATCTACATATAAAATAAATATAAATAGTATGTACATCTAAAGTAATAATCAGATGTAAATATTTGGGGCTGTTTACTTAAATTCTGAATATTTGACTTTTGGATGGATGGATGTTAATATTGGCAAAACTGTGGCAGCCAGTTGTGAGGTCAGATTTCTATAGGAGGTAGATTTTAAGAAACATACTCTACCCTCATATAAATATTTTCTTAAACTCAAGCTTGCCTCCTAGTGACTTCATGGAATATGGGTGTAACTTCATTGGCAATAAAACTGAAGTGGTTTACCATTGCCTCCTTCTGGGATTTCTTTTATTTTGCCACCTAGTCTACAATTTAAATTTTTACCAGGTTTGATTTTGCTTAGCTACTTGGAGATCATTCAAGGTTGGTTAGAGACTGCCATCTATGCTAATACCAGAAGATGTAATCCTGTCGTTCATATTCTGTGGCTCCAAATAGATGTAAAAGCAAAATTCATTTTGTTATAATAATAATAAAAAGCAATCTCTATCTTTAGTGTTATCAGTCACCTTTGAAGTCTTGAGTGCTATACTTGTCCTTGATGTTAATAGTAACGTAGATGGGCAGGGGGTTTTGTCCATTTATCAAAGATTCTTTCTGCTCTGAAAGCCTGTGATTATCTTTCTAATTGTAAAGGAGAAATAAACGAAAAGTTATGGAATAGGTACGTAATGTAACAACCAAAAATACATAAATACAAGTGGAAAATCATCTTAATATTAAAGTTACCTAAAGCAAGCCAGTATAAAAACTAAATATAATAATTGAACATAAGTGGGTGAAACAGAAGATGAAATGAATAAAGGTTTTTTGTTTTTTTTACTCAGGAGAGTAAGAATGGCATACTTGCTTGATACCACCTTGGGAACCTGCAACTCAAATTAATGGTTTTACTATTAATGTAACATAATATTTACTTACAATGTTTATCAAATAGTGGTATTTGATAAACTAGCAATTGGTATTCTAATTAGTGAATTATCGCAACATTACTTTTTATATTTGTATAACAGGTATTCATAATTCTTAGGAAGTAAAAAATAATATATCAGACTATACCCCATCATTTAACAAATACTCTATGATGAGTCCCCAGAGATCTATAAAAGTTATCGGGTAGCCCTCCTGTTTCCTTTGATTCAACTGTTGATAGTAGTATTTCATACGGTTTGCGGTGAACATATCCAACTTGCTTTTAGTCACTTGTTTCTTAGCCTCCTGTATTTTTTCATGTAGATCGTTCTGGGACCAGTAAGCATCCCTGTATAGATGTGCCATGGCCCTGAAAAGACACAATGCAATCAATGAGAAATATACAAAAAAATAAAAGTACTTATAAATGTGTGTAAAATGATATTCTGAGACTAGGCAGCAATACATTCCAATTTTCTCTGCAGTGTTTCTGCAGTCAAATTCTCATTAAGTTTATGCCAACAAACTACAATTTGCTTTTATAGATGTGACTAGGTATTAGGAAAATAACTTTCCATTGGTATGAGCAACTCAGCAGAAGAAACAGAGTCCCTTTCACTGGATAAATTCAGTGAAAATCTGACTGAAATTTTTAATAAGGTTTCCTACACTAAATGTTTCATTTCAACTGGAGGATTGGCCTAGCTCCTTATAAAATTAGATAGTTCTAAAAAAGCTAGCAATAATATAACACATTTTTCAGACTTGCAAATTGCTCTCTATGATGCTGCTAGTGCTTTTCTAATAAGATGAAAATGACCAGTATAAAAATACAAATTTGGTTTTAAATATATATAAACACAAACACATCCACATTTGATTAAAAATCAAAGATTTTTAAAAAGAGATCTTTAAAAAGATTATTGAGAAAGCCTCATATTTCCATGTGTATTGACAGAGTGAAGAACAGTGCTTCTAAATATAAACAATTGCTAGATGAGTTAATGAAGGAGTTGTGTGATTTTAAACAATTAGGTGCCAGATTTTGAGGGTACCACGTATGAGACTGATCATCATATTTTGGGCTTTCTTTTCCAATTCATTTTTGAAGTGATCCACAGGACTTCAGAAGTTTACTACAAAAGTCAAAGCCATGAATGACTGGTCCTAGGCTAGCACTGACCAACCAGCAAAAGCTAGCAGGAAGTTCCTAGCCACACCACTTTCTCAGTTTTGGAAGAGTTGTACTGTGGAACACCACCAAGGAAGTATGTCCATTTTATCTAAAGCATGTTTCATATATTATGTATAAGAGCACTTCTGAAACCAAATGGAATATTTTACCATGCCATGGTGGCACAATACTAGAATGTAGTATTGCAGGCAAATCTCTGCCCACAGTCTGGAGTTCTATCCTGACTGGCTCAAATTTGACTCTGCCTTCCATCCTTCTGAGGTTGGTAAAAATGAGGACCCAGATTATTAGGACTAATATGCTGACAATTGCAAACTGCTCCGAGATTTCTATAAAGCACTATGAGGCGGTATATAAGTCTAATGCTATTGCTATTGCTACATAGAGGAAAACGTGCATTGGCCATTCTAAAAAGATACAGAACATGAAGATACAAAACATTTAGCATGCTAGCATTTATAGAGTAGTCGTGTATGTGCATCTATTTGAAAAATGCAGATGAAGTGATTTGATACATTAATAAATGTTTTGAATGCTCTTATAGAAATAAAGGTGCCAAAGAGATTGGAAGTTGTTGCACACACTATATAATAAAAGCATAGGAGAAAAATAAAAGTGAGATTATTCATAATTGATAAGGTGACATGAATATAAGAATGTCTACATAACATTACTATAGACTTGTTTAAATGCACAGCTATGTTAGAATTATTACCACTTTACTTTTCTTGTATTAAATTATTCCCAACAATCTATCATGAATTTTCACTTACCATGAAGTTCCAGACAAGCCAGACATGTATGTTACACAGTCCATAAGATTCAGCTTTTTGAGTGCTCTCATAGAGCCAAATGTTGTTGTGTATGACCTTGTCCCACCACCAGTTGTCATGATTGCCACCACAGGAACCTGGGTAAAACAAGGACATGGCAAATAAAAAATAAGCACAAAATAGAACCTGGATAATAAATGTGTGGTATTTGGAGGACAAGGGTTAGCCTTGCACTTACCTAAGTGTTCCTTCATATGTTCTACCTCAGATTTCTCAAACTTGGTAGTCTTAAGACATGCTGGCTGGGGAATTCTGGGAATTGAAGTCCAGATAATCTTAAAGTTACCAAGTTTGAGAAACACTTGAATATCTAAAGAAGACGTATATATCCCTGGCTTTCATTCACTTGAAACAAGGGAAATCAGGTTTTTTATAACACCAAAAACACTGTGTCAGTTCTTGAGAACTTGCTCCTTCAAATAACAGTAAAAATACATTCAAAGAAAGTGTATTGTTTAATTATTGGAAAGATGTTTATATCCCATTTCTTATTTAAAAACTCAGTTTGCAGTAGTAAAGTAAACAATTCAGAAAAAAATGATAAAAGAGATAATCCAAAACTGATAAGGAAACAGGTAATGACTGGGGGAAAGCTTATCGGAAATAGAATAAATTGATTTTCTTTAATGTTAAGAAACATCTGTCAGCAACCCACATACCTCGTGATCTTGCAAATCATAATCTAGCTGGAGAACCTGCTTCAAAGCTTGAGCAACTATTCTTTTTCGCTTACACAAGAACTCTTGCTCTTGTGAACACAGATCATATCCCAAGCGAACATCTAAGTCTCCTGGGCAGGAACAATTACTAAGACATAAAAAAAATAGCTTAGAAACTTTATCTCAATATACAATGATCACACAAAAATGTAATAAAACAAGAGATGATTTAAAGTGACTGATCACTGTCACAGTCTATGAAATAGCTGTTTTCTGCTCAAGTATTCCACACAATACATTGCACATCTCAAAAATACTTTTGGATAGCACTCAGATATAGACATCATAAAAGGTACCTTAAGAAGAATGACAAAATGGCTTCCTGTAATGAAAAGGGAATTCCCTCTTCACAAACTTTTCAAAATGGAGTCAAGTAGAAAGAATTGTATTGCCCTGCATCTAAGAGACATGTGAACTAAGGTTCCATGGTGCTAACCTTATAGTGAATGCTTCATAATTTATTATTTGATTTTAGTAACATTCATTAATAGTGGTACACATTAATAGATACAATTTGATATTAGTAGCGCCTAAAGGAAGTGTCGGGAGGGGGGGCTGGATGTGGTGCATAAATTTCTGCATCCAGTTGCTACATTTCCCCCTCCATGAAACTTTCTTCTCTTTTATCCACCCTAAAAAAGTTTCATGCAAGAAAGTCCACACATGGAGCTTTCTATCTCGTTTGGCAAGGAAGAAGATTCTATATGTCCTTTCTTCATACAAAGTAGCCCAAAGAGTAAAGAGGAAAGTGGGGTTCTGTGGGAAATGTTTCTCCTCCCCAAAGTCTCTTTCCTGATATCATTAACCTTGGATAAGGTCCTCTTCATGGCCATATAATGTTTTATGAAGATTTAACATTGAATCATTCTTAAGCTCTGAAGGTATTAGGTATTCATAAAATAAAATGCGTACTTATTTTTGTTTTAATATGACTCTGAAATTACTTTTCAGTTGAGCTGGATGGTTTTTCTTTCTTTTTTGTTCTCTTGGGGTTTTAAAGATTTCAGCAATTTTAGAAATTTAAAATATGCTATTTTTAATTTGAATGTCTGTTTCTTTATTTGATTTGTTTGGTATATGTTGGTGGTTCAGCACCTGAGAAGTGATTTTTTTTAAAAAAATCTCGCTTTAATGGTATATGAACCTTTTTATTATGTGCACAATTTTACCAATTATTTATTGTATTGGTTTTTTTAATTCTTCTATACAGTGCTAAAAGTTATCTGACTATGTTGTACTTAACTGTATCTTATTTGATGGTCTACTTTCCTAGAAATTTCTACTCAATTACTACTAACCCCACTTTTGTTTTGTCTTTAACTCCAACAGGGCTATCTGGCAGCCCAGATATGAAAAGTAACAGCAATATTAATTATTGGTGCTTCTTACCAATCATTCACTTTTACGTGCAAATTGTACATTTTTTCCTGAAAAACAGAATGTAAACATGTAAAAATTACAGAGCGAATATATTTTCACTTTAAATAAAAAACCATCTGCAGTCTTTAAACTGCTATTAAAATAATTATAAAAGTTACTTTTCTTCAAAACACAGTGACTCAGAGTATTTCCCAGACATAATTTGTATAACTTAGTTTCTGTGTAAAGCAACAAGGAGTGGGTTGAAAAGTCCTGAGGCTGACAGTAAGTTTAAAATCCAGCATTGTAGCTGCTACAAGTAGTAAGCCAATAATGGCATAATAATTTTTATTTCATGGAGGATCATTTTGGGGGGTTTCACCACATTTGAACAAGACTAGAGGAAATTATCCTAATTATGTGATGAGCTAATTCACATGATTATAATATATGAACTGCCTACCTCTAATTTTTAATTGCTATATTTCTAGACTGCTATAAAAGTTTCCAGAACATCTATTCTAAAATATTTTGGTTTGTCCTCATTGCACTCCAAAAATTCCAAGGGGAAAAAATGGTTATAAAACATTTTCTACATTTTCTGCTGTCATAATAGAAATATTTCTCAGTGACTATTCAGACCTAAAATTTGTTGTAAATGTACTAAGATGACTGTAAATAAGGAAATAAAAAATGAAGTGAAAGCTATTCCTTATGATTATGTACTCAGAATAGCAAAGTATGACTAGCTTTCAGGACTAGTTAATTTGTAATTTCCAAACAGAAATAATCAAACTGAACTGGATGTTCAACCTTAATCCAGTCCTGGAGATGGGATAGCATTAGGAAAAATAGTAGGATAGATAAGACTGAATGCATGTGATAAATACCTTTAACATCTGGAAAATGCAAACAGCCCAGTGGTGGGATTCAATTTTTTTTACCACCGGTTCTGTGGGCATGGCTTGGTGGGCGTGGCAGGGGAAGAATACTGTAAAATCTCCAGTCAGAGGTGGTATTTGCCAGATCTCCGAACTACTCAAAATTTCTGCTACTGGTTCTCCAGAACTGGTCAGAAACTGCTGAATACCACCTCTGAAACTGTCCCATATTCTATCAGCTACCTAAGCTACTTCCCTCTGGTTCTAAATCTGAAACATCTGTCTTCTATTTAGCAGCCTTTGTTTTTTATTTGATGGGGCCAATCTTCTTTAGCTTCTGTTCTTGCCTATAAAATAAAGTAATGAGCAAAAAAAAAAAAAACTAACATTGAACTATTTAGAATGATAAACTTCTTAAATTTGGAAGGATATCTCTGCCTGTATGTTTATCTTTCTCACAATCTCCATCTCTATCTCCGTCTCTAGTTCTGTTTTTGTCTCTGTCTCTGCTTTTAGCTCTAGCTCAGTCTGTAGCTCTATCATGAGTTACTCACTAGTAATTAGGGTTCGCATTCAGTGATCCACTGATCTGTTTCACCATTATATCTGGGAATTTAGCTAGCAGTCTTTCTGGTCATCTTTGGCTGATTAGTGGAATTTAATAAATCATTGCTCCATCTCACACCTGGAAAATTTTGTTATTGTGCGTGGTTTTTATTTTGTAGTAAGTGGAAAGGGAAAAATGCATTGGAATTGCAAAGTAATCTCTTGAATCTACCCAGGAAGGATGAGGAAATGATTTAAAAATGTGATTGTCACTTGTTACAATGGAAAGAAAGCAATCCAGTAGGACAGAAAATGACGAGATGAGCTGAAGTTTCATTGGAAATCTTCCCACCCTGCAGGTGTTGCAATGTTTCTTCTGAAGCATCAGCTGAGTAGGAAGAAAACCAACTTAATGGTGGAAGATCTTCTCAAAACCTACACTTTGTGAAGATAGGCATCTCAGCTTTGCACAGAAAGTCAGCATACTTTCTGCAAAGGAGTGCTTTAAGTGCACAATGAAGGGTTTCATTATTTTGCCTAAAGCAATCTAAAATGTGGGTTAGACAGAAGTTTGTTATCCATGCTTGAAAAAGAGATTGTTGCTCCAAGAAACTGATTGCCTAGCATTAAGTTCATCTTGCCCAGAACTCACAGGATCTAGCTAAACAAAATCCTCTTTTGATCTCCAATGGTACTCAGTAAAATATGCAGCCAAAATAACTTAGAGAGTTAGGGAATCACATTGTTTGGATCCAAATATGCAAAAGGTGGGAGAAGAGAAGACATTAAAGTCTTCTTTGAAAAGATGTTAAGGAAGTAAAGAGGAAAGAGAGATTTGGGTGGTGTGTGGCAAAACAGGGTAGAAGAACTAGAAATTGCCAGGTGGAATTGCCGGTCATGCACGCTATGGAGAAGAATGAGTCAACACAACTGAAGGAGGAATACCAACTATATTGCCCAATATGGAGTTGTGACTGAATTGAGAGAAGAGTGAGCCACCAACCACATAAAAAGAAGAGAAGTGAAACGTCATTTCGTAAATGAGAAGCTGTAAGAAGGAGAAGGTGAAGGAAATTACTCCCAATGAGTAAAGATATGAAGGGAAGTAAGGGGAAATAGAGTAAAAGAAAGCTAGTCTACTCCTGGAAAGGCTAACATTTACAGCATTTGAGAGCATATAGTTGAAGTGTTGACTAATTGGTGACTGGATGATTATGAGGGGAGCTTAATTAGCTTAGGCAAAAGAGAGATCAAGGGCAGGATGACAGTAGTGATAGGCAAGAAGGTACAAGTAATGAATTCTGGGAAAGAGAAAACTAAAATAGTTTAGGGCAGTTTTGAAGATTAGGTCAGTATTGTAGCCTTACCCAGAACAAAATGGTCACTTATGACCTTGTATTTTTTCTTATGAATAATTATAATTCATTTTACATGGGGCTGCCCTTGAAACTTCTCTGCATACTTCTACAATATAGTTATTGCAAGTAGCTGCAATTCAATATACTTCCAAATGCAATTCAAGCAGTTGGTTATCATAGATTTAAAAAAATCTCATGTGACTCAGGGCCTATTTATCTTCAGGACCACTTGTCCCACATAGATTATGCCTGCTTAATCCAAGGACATTGATATTTCTTTTTTTTTTTTTTTAAATTTTATTCATTTTATTAATATAATATATAAAAATTCCATTTCAAGCAAACAGTGTGTTGTCTGGGTACAGTTGTTTTTAGGTGATCATAATCAGAGTGTTTACAATAACATTAATACTGTAATAACAATAATATTTAGCTTGTCCATTTTAACATATTTTTTATTTTAACATTTATCCTTTTTATGTCTTTTTAACTTCTGTTTTTATTGTCTAACCATTGATAAAATAAGCCCCATGTCAAAAAATATTTAGTTTCTTCTTTGTCCTTAATAATAAGCGTTAGTCTATCAATTTCTGCACATTCTAGTATTTTCTTAATTACATTCTCATCTGTCGGGCTCTCATCACAGTTCCATATTTCTGATAGTCCCCACCTATCAATAGGTGCAATAGAAAGGGACTCTAAAATTCTTGGTAGATATTCTTCCTCTAAAACTGCTTCATCTTTGAGGCACAGATGGCTGCAATTCTCATGGCTTTCCAAAGCTTGTGAAAAGTTGGCTGTTCTGGAAGATTTTTGGAGTTCCCAGTAATTTTAGGTAACTTATATTATTTTCAAAAGTATAATGATATAATTGTATTTTTAAATATATTATTATATTATTGTTGCATTGGCTGTCCCTTTTGATCATTTGTCTACATTTTAACTGAAGTGTTTTACAAATTCACAAATAAATATTTATTATTTCTGGAATTTAAAGAAGGCACTCACTTCCACTATTGGCACTTTCTCTCCCATAGGCAGGGAATTCAGCTTCACAATTGGAACATCTTCCTTGGTGGAACAAGAACAGGAACGCTAAAGAAAAAAGTCTATAAGTATAAATGTTTTTACATAAAAAGCTTGTTCTAATGAAAGGACATTTGTAATGATTGTGATTAATGAATTAGACTGACATACAGGGTTATAACGTGGCTTTGTCTTTGGTAGTTTAACATTCAATGATGGATCCTTGTACTTGATATAATGGAACGTAGTGGGACTTGGAGGTGTGAGAACTGCATCTGAACCCAACTTAAAAGTTTGTGTCCCTTCACACGATCCTTTTATAGAAAGTGAAAGGTCTTTCTCTAAAAACAGAAGGTAAAGAATATGAAAAAAGATCATTACAGCAGAGATTTTCATGAGGAAAAATACAATGAAACATTTCAATATGAATAATATAAATTCTTAAATAGAATAATTAAAAGTGAAACAACAAAATTATTAATAATTAATTAATAGTTAAAACTAAAGTATTTGGTATATCAAGATAATCTGGAAAAACCTTTAAGGAAGTTTCTATAGTCATCCATTTACCAAAAGTGATCTGGGTGCCAACCAGACTTAAAATTAAAATTCATTATTTTTTATTTTTTCTCCCTCCCTTCCTCTTGCCCTCCCTCCCTCCCTCTCTCTCTCTCTCTCTCTCCCTCTCCCTCTCCCCCTCCCCTCTCTGTCTCATCCTTTCTCCCTCTGTCTCCCTCCCTCTCTCTCTTTGATTTCCTGGAGTAGTCCTTGCAATTTTCTTCACAAAGTTTGGTTGGTATGCCCTTCTTTTCTTTCCAGGACTGAGATAGAGTGACTAACTCAAGGTCGCTCAGCTAGTTTTGTCCCTAAGGAAGTACTAGAACAAGTGGTGTCCTGGCTTCAGTTCTGGTGTGTTAACCACTATACCAAGCCTGCTGTTTCTCAAAACCATCATAGAAATGTATAAATCAGTGAAAGAAAAGGCTAAGTAAAGGCCCTTAAAAAAAAACACATTGCTAACATAATAGAAGAAGGGGACGGCAGAGAATGAGGTGGCTGGATGGAATCACTGAAGCAATCAGCATAAACTTAAATGGACTCCTGAAGGTGATAGAGGACAGAAAGGCCTGGAAGAAGGTTGCCCATGGGGTTGTGATGGGTCGGATAATGATTTTGCAACTAACAACAGCAACAACAAACATATCACATAGGCTTGCTCATTTCAGAGTTCTGTTAACATTCTGGCCCCAGACTGTGGGGTAAAACTAGGTCTTTATGGACTTCCAGAAGGCCAACAGGTTGGGGCAATTCATATCCTAGGAGGATACTGTTCTACAAGGTAGGAGCCATGATAGAAAAGGCACATTTCCTACAGTGCACCAAGTGACACTACTTCATCAATGAATCCTGGAGCATGTTGTGAACATTAAAATATTCATATTAATCAACATTTCCAACATGGTGGTGGTGGAGGAGAATCTTTGTAAAAATGTCTTATCAATATTCTCAAATAAAGCACATTTTAAGTAAATCAGATAATCGAATGATCTTGAAGGAAATTCTATAACCTTATGGACATTAATCATGAATGTAAAACAAAACATACCTGTAGATATTTTAGCTACCTTGAATATTGTGTGTTTTTATAGTTCAGTGTTGCTTTAGAATTGCAATACTAGAATGTTGCAATCTGAATTATTTTGTGGTTTTTTGAAAGATAATAAATACTCTAAATGATCAATAATTTTCTTTAGTGTGAGCAGACAGCAGTTTGTCTAGTCAATGATGGGGGGATGGTATAAGGGAAAAAGTACAGAAAAGAAGGGTAGACTAATAAGCTAGGTTCCCACCACTTTACCAATTCACTGACAAACCACCTAATTTCCCTCACTTTGGTCATGGACAATCTAGGTGACCTCATGAAAATTATTCTTCCTCACTATTAGTAACTCCATCTCTAACAAAATAATACATTGACCTGATTGGCTAACAGCCATAATCAATATGCCAAGTAATAATGAGATCACTGGAGTTATGTGAAGAGACCTGATGAATAATGGACAATTTCCTGAGTTCTTTGTTTGAATTTTTTTTGCTCTGTTGTTTAGCACAGTAATGAAAACATTTCAGTTATGACTATGCAATAATTTTATATAAACTCACGTGATTTATGTCGCTTGCTTTGATCCACCTCAGCTTCCAGTGTACAAATTTCACGACACTGTAATAAACAGAAGTAATAAACAAAAGCAACATAAATGATCACTTCTAGATTTAAAACTGTTTTGTGAGATAACTTTGAACAGTACCAGTACACCTGTACAAAACTTAACAGCTAAAGAAAAAAATAACTTGAAGATACATTAATATAATTGAGTTTTGGCTATGAGAACAATAGGAAACTTCTATTGGTTTCTTTGCTGATTCCTTACACTGATTTTCTTTGTCACCCTTCAAATAAAAGTTGTTTTTGCTTTCAATAAGGGGGTAAAGAATATAGGTAGGTAGGCCATTAGCAACAAGGAGCTGCTATCATGATTCAAATGCTTTATATTAAAATAAATGCTTCTAGACTGAAATTATGGATTGCCAATAGTTTCATATGAGTGTATCATCCACCAGAACCATCAAATCCCACATCACAACCACAAAGGGTTTTTGTGGAAAAATATATGATCAAAACTAAAAGAGAAAAGAAAGTTCCCAGGGTGGGATATATAGTAAACAAAAAGAAAAACAGAATTGAACCCAAAGGAACACATCATCATCATCATCATCATCATCAAACCAATTTCCTTCCCTGAAAAACATAAAAATAAAACCAGGAAACTGCTATGCTGATCATATGGGAACTCCAGTGGAATAATTAAAATTTGATTCTCTGAGATGTAAACTAACTGCCAAAAAAAGCCAAAAGACCGAACATAGATGGTAGATAATTAAAATGGGCTATTAAATGATTTGAAACATATGAAACATATGAGGTTCACAATACTGCTTTGGATGTTGCTTCTTCAGACACTGCAGGGAAAAAAAGGAAGAGGAGAGGAAATATGAGCCAGAGGAACTGGAAGAGAACCTGGTTGCAATCTTAGATGTAAAATAATGGCCAAGATAATCCAGACAGGATAATCTACTTAAGCATGTCTCAACCTTGGCAGCCTTATGATGTGTGGATTTCACTGATCTACGTTAAGAAAGGAAGAAGTCTCATTGCCATTGCTGAAGATACTGTATATCTGTTCTTTAATAATAATAAAAAAGCTGGTGATATCATTTAATTGCTGGAGGATAGCAGATTGGGAATACACTTCTTTTGCTTGAACAGGTAGGGTAAAATAAGGGAAAGGACAGATGGGAAAATAGTTGTATTTAATTTAGTGGGACATATAAAACTTCCATTCTAAACATATGATTTGAACCAGGGGTAGGATTCAAATTTTTCAACAACCGGTTCTGTGGGTGTGGCTTAGTTGGTGGACATGGCTTGGTGGTCATGTTATTGGCTGGCCGTGGCCAATTCAACATCACTCACATCGAGGCACGCATCTCCTCGCCTGGCCTCTCATGACTGTGGGGATGCTGCAACAGTCGTAAGTGTGAAAAATGGTCATAAGTCACTTTTTTCAGTGCCATTGTAACTTTGAATGGTTATTTCACACAAGCAAAGTACCAGCAAAGGAGGGGGAAAAATTCCAGAGAAGTTCCTGAGACAGGAAGTCTCATCTTGCCAAAAATGTAATAAGGGTTAACAGAGAGGCAGTTTCTGTAAGCAACACCAGAATGTTTCCTTCTTGCCTTCCTTACAGGATTAGGCCAATAATTTCTTCTAACAACTGGTTCTCTGAACTCCTTAGAATGTTAACAACCGGTTCTAGCGAATAGGTGTGAACTGGTAGAAACTGACCCCTGCATGCCATAGTTGGCCAATGAGATTCTTAGCAGGTGCTAGTTTAACCATGGCAAAAGACAGAAAGGAACAGCTAACTTAGTGGTAGCATTAAAAAAAATTATCAAACCTCTGCTGATCCTAGTTTCCCTGTCAACAAGTTGTGAAAAGTATATGGGAGAAATTGGAGTCACCATATCAAGCACAATAAGTGTGCTGATAACCTCTGGAGAGAAAATGGAACAATAGCTCAACAGATCAACCTTTTCTTTCTCTTTAAATATCAGGCCATATCATAAAATAATCTAGAATGTGACCTGTTCATGAATCAAGAGGGATTAAGGAGAATACTATCCAAAGCTAAAATAGGAAAAAAAAAACCACATCCAAATATACAAACACTAGGATATTTAAAATCTCTCCAAGTCAGAACAGGGAACTCTTGAATAAGAACCCAAAAGGTAAATCTTCAGAAATCTGTTTTTCTGTGATCAAATAAGAGGAAAAGAATTGTGAGATAGATGGGCAGTTTAAAAAAACAATTTAACAAAGAAATAAAGGAAGATTGCTTAACTAAGTCTTCAGACATCACAATTTATACTAGGTGAGTGATAAATTAATCCAGCTAGACAATTTAAAAGAAGCATTTAGTAAGTGATCTGGGATTCGAAATTAAAAGGTTGCTTTTTGTTAGAATAAACAAAACTAACAAAAGCTTTTAGTTAGAATAAACAATTTAACAATATTTGTTAATAACAAAGAATAAATATAAATTTGAAAGATAATCTAATAATTGACAAAATAATTACTGTTATCATTTCCAATCTCAAGCTAGATTAGAGAGTATCAAAAGAAATTTCCTTTCCTGACCAATAAGAGTATGAAATCCATTGGACCCACTGTAGGAAAACTCATACAGCATTGTTAATATGGAGGGGTATTTTAGTAACCCCTGGTCCATGGACTGACACTGGTCCATGGCATGCCAGCAACCAGGCCATGCAAACAAACAAAGCCTCATCCGTGGGATGCAGGCAGCTGCAAAACCACAGCTCCTCCAGTTCTCCAGAAAAACCTTTCTCCAGGGAACCAGTCCCTGTTGCCCAAAAAGTTGTGGGCTGCTGGTTTAGTAGTCAACTGAAGTAAAGAAATGATCTATTCTAGTTAGGCCAGAATGTTCTGAGGATCTTGACAAGAGTCGACTCTTGAAGCCCTTTGGGTCAACTCTTTGAAAGCAAAACAATTTGTGTTCTCTTTATTCAAAGTGGGAAATGTTTTAAACGATCCACAGAAAATATGTCTCTGGATCTGGCAGTGTCTTTCCTACCTGCTATTTAAGTTCTTCTCAATGTCTTTTAAAACATACAAAGGTGAGTATCACACAGAGACAATTAATGGCTGGCTTCTAATTCCATGACTCTTTCCCCCAATGGTAAAGGAAGAGCAAAAATAATCTTTTACCCTGGAAATCTTTTGCAAAGTTGGGGAAAATAGAAGAGATATCTTAAACCAGCATATTTCAATTTAGAGGTGATCTTCCTTTTAGATGAACATAGTATGTGTTTTACAATCCTTATTAAAAAATCCAGTTCTTATGTTGAGCTTCAACAAGGATTAAACTATATGGCCAAATATATCTGGAAATTCAATCATCGTTAAAGTGCATTGCTTCAGAATCAAGTATCAGAATACTCCCAGCAAAAATGTGAGTTGGGTACTCATACCTCACATTCACTTAGATCACAGCAGTATTATCAACAGTGATAAACTGCAATAAGTGTCATGAAAAACAGAATTCAAAATTTACCACTAGAACTCCATTTGTAATTAGTGTTTCCGGAGGACCACACCTAGAAAACAAATGTAAAGAAATAATTCCAATATTCCTGCAAATATTGTTTCCTTTTCATCCAAATAGAGACTGAAAATACATGTTTAGAATATGATCCATATATTGAGATTTTAAAATTCCTATAGTTGCCCTGAATTGTTAATGAATTATTGTGGTTTGTCATTGTTCCATCTAGTAATATAAAAAACAAAGACCGCTTGTACTAATGCTTCTTCTGATTCAGAGTTCTGATATTTAGTTTAGCCCTTATGAAGAGATAAAATTTGAATTCAGGCTGATGTAATTATGTATGCATTACTCATATGCTTCCTTATATCAATATAGTATTTATACAGGACTTTGCGTAGGAAGTTATGTAGCACCTTTACAAATGGAATTTCTTGCTGATGGTTTCTAACTAATTATAGTTTCCATACCTTAAACAGACAGTAAATTGAAGGATAAGTACTGCTGCCATTCCTTATCTGTCTCTTTCCCCTCCTTCTGTACAGTATGGTACAGAGATTATTAAAATAACAATTACACCCTTCTTGTAAGTCATCTGTTAAAACTCTTACGTTGCCTTTCAAGGAATGTATCTGTTTTCACACCATGAAATACATCTGTCTCTTTCTTAGTAGTTACCTTGTTAAGCAATTATCTCTCTGTATGTGGGTCTTTTAAATATACAAATGATCAAACTGTCTTTGACCAACAATATCTATAACCCTTATATAACCCAATGGCCCTTGCTTGTGGCTAATTTGAGGCCAAGTGAGCTCTATTTCATGTAACTCACTAGCTTTATTAAAACAATTGTTTGGATCCTCTTCAGATTTTACTGTTTATTGAGTGAGTTTTTCTGCCACAAGGTTTATATTGTTCTGCTTTTCTATGCTACTAGAACAGTGTGAGGTAGATTTAACAGTTATACATTGTTTTTTTCTTATTGTTTAGTAAAAAAAACAATATATAAGCAGGACTATATCCCTGATTGCATTTTATTAATATTTAGTGAAAAACAGTTCCCAAACAGACCTGCTTATTTATTTCTACTGAAAATTGAAATTCTTGTATCTACTGACAGCGTGCCGGAGTAATACAGAAAATAAAGAATGGAAAATGCTTACGCAGGTTCCACTATAAATTCAACTTCCAGCTCTTCTTGTGTCTGCCAAAAAGAAAATAGTAAAATTGAATTTGAAATGGGTGTAGAATCTTTCCTTTAACATCATTTTTAATCACATTAAAAATTGGTCAATAACATATTGAAAAATAATGTAAGCATAAAAGCTGGAAATTTGTCAGCAAACAATTCACTTTTCTATCAAACACAGCTATGTTTTCATCAATAATAAGCAAATATATGGAAGATTTTATTTACTCATGTATTGTGCTCTCCTAATTACAATTTTTCTTACATTTTGGCAAGAAACAGGATATCTAAAATAGATGGAATATAAGTACCAAATATTTCAATGGCGCCAGTTTGCTTACTTCTTAAAGTTAAAACACAATTTGGAAATTATAGCATGCAGTTAGGTAGAAGTATTAGGTAACATCAGACACAGACAATTATCGACTGTTTCCAAGTTAACAGAAAACAAAATTGGAACTTTTTCATTATTATATTTTTAATTTATTTTACCATATGTTTAAGTAGAAATCATGAGTTCTTCACTTTGAACTAATGTGAAACTTACTCAATATCTACCATAGATAGTCTCAAACAAAGCAATTCTCCACCCGACCTTCCCTTTCTATGCTGGCCCTCATAAAAGAGCAAGATGGGCAATGAATATATTTAATAATAAATAAAATAAATAAATAAAATGTAATTGAATAATCAACTAAAAATTAAAATAAGGCTGCATTGCAAAGTGTAGACAAAAGTGAACTCTATTAAAAAGTCAACATTTTTTTAAAGAAAATCAGACAGTATTAATGTGGAATATGTGACAAATATGACAGATTTGAAAAATGTTTTAGATAAAATCTAAATCAAAAATCAAAACAGAAATGCAGGTTACTTGCCCTCACTTTTTCTTATGCTCAACATGAGCCAAATTCTGAGGGTTTTTTTTTTTTCACAAGATGCATGAAATCTTCCTAATAATAATAATTTATTAAATTTACATGCCACCCAACTCACAATGAGTTATTATTTATTAGCAGCATTTTTGCAGGTATAACTGATGAATCAATTATTGAGAAAGATCTCATTTCTTTTATGATTCAGAAAAGTTATGGTAGCCCAGTAGCTAAATTTTGTTACAGTTACAGTCATGGTAGCCAATCAGTCAGTCAAGAAAAAAACCTTATCTAGCTACTGATGACTAAGTGGATTCTATTCAGTGTGGTGGATCACAAACTGTTTAGAGATTAACATATATAGTATACTCGTTCTTACAGTGTAATATTTCTCACCTCTGGATCACATTTAAAAGTCATGAGAACTTTCTCATTATCAGGAAGACGAGCTACATCGAAATTGATAGTGAAAAGGTGATCATCTTCAGTAACAGCATCTGAGTCATACACAAAGAACTCTAGCACATTCTGTGAAGAATAAGAAATATATTATATTGCAGGCATTATCTGTATCTATAAAGCAGACCTTAGGGCAGATGTGGCTGAAATACAGATACTGTATTTCCTTCAGCATATATGCTTGACATGTCTGCTTTATTGCATTTTACAATAAAGTATACAAATAGCAGCCACCATGAGGCAGATGCTTCTGTGGGAGGCAGGCATCGGATCTGTATAGTGGCCCAAGTCAAAATGGAGGGCAGTGTCAAATGACTGGGTTACCATAACCTTTATGGCATGACTCCTGCTGGAAGAAGTGAGAAATCCTGATTTTGAAACTGGAATAGATAAATGTGACTTTAAGATACTGTGGAGTTCTCTGAGTTTGGTTTCTTGAAGACATTTCATTACCCAACTAGGTAAAAATTTCAATGTTATTAGAAGGGAGTGGGGTTTGTTCTCTGTTTATATACAGTAGCTTTCCCTGTGTTATTGGGATCCCCTCCAACCATGGCAGGCCAAACATCTGCAAGCAAACAACCAAGTTCAGAGAGCACCAAAGACCACATTTCAATCCTGAGCAGGGGTGGGATTCTACCAGTTTGCACCTATTTGCTAGAACCAGTTGTTAACATTCTAAGCAGTTCGGAGAACCGGTTGTTAGAAGAAATTACTGGCCTAATCCTGTAAGGAAGGCAGGAAGGAAACATTCTGGTGTTGCTTACAGAAACTGCCTCTCTGTTGACCCTTATTACATTCTTGGCAGGACTAGACTTCCTGTCTCAGGAACTTCTCTGGAGTTTTTTCCCCCTCCTTTGCTGGTACTTTGCTTGTGTGGAGTGACCATTCAAAGTTACAGTGGCACTGAAAAAAGTGACTTATGACCATTTTTCACACTTGCAACTGTTGCAGCATCCCCACAGTCATGAGAGGCCAGGCAAGGAGATTCGTGCCTCGATGTGAGTGATATTGAGTTGGCCACGCCCAGCCAATAACATGACCACCAAACCACACCCACCAACTAAGCCATGCCCACAGAACCGGTTGTTAAAAATTTTGAATCCCACCCCTGACCCTGAGCTGCATACATTCTATTTATTGGCACTTTAAGACATCTCCATGGTGGACTAGGAATGAGTTGGAGGCAACAGAATGTGGACATGTCCTCTAAAAGGCATCTTAATGCCATATTTAGTGGGATATGAGGATGAGCTTTCAATCTTCTCAAGTGTAAACATGCTCAGTTCCAGCAGTCTTCATTACATGGTTCAGATTTTAATCCCCTGATCATCCTAGTTGTCTTTACCTAAGTCTGTTCTGGGTTTGTATGATATCTTTCTTAAGTGCAGTGTATAAAATGAATGAACTAAGCAGTCTCCCAGTTTTGGAAGATTTATTTCTAAAAACTGCTGGACCATTTCTGGAGAGGACCTATCTGCATCTTCTGTAAGAAAGATGGAATATGCTCCTTCTTTGATATTTAGTGCACAGCACAGAATGCTTTGTAATCTTTTGTTTATAGTAGCAAGGACAAAGAATAGTCTTCTGGCATTTATTAAATGTATACCTACCCAACTCCATTCTTATTCTGGAATACAAACTGGAACACATTAGTTATGAAATCATCTTTCATAAGTAAGAATCTATGTCATCAAATAGATCAGGAGAATACAGATTTTAGTGAGTAAAACTCATGCCATTGTACATGTTCACCATTTGCTTCCAATTTTTTTGATATTTATTGTTGCAGACTGCGATTATCAGATTTTATTTATTCTCTTCCTTGAAGTGCTGTTGGTATATTTAAAATGTTCAAATGTAGAAGTTGGAAGATATTGTGTAATATTGACATAAACGTTGGTACACTTCAGTGGTTTTCAAAATGTATTACCAAGTAGGATTATGCATGATTTAAAAATGAATTGGAAGAGGTTTTTCAGAATTCATATGATCATGAGTGAGACATATTCCTACCATTCATTAAATCTTGCCAATCTTTCTTCAAGCTTCCACATGAACATGAACCAAAATTGTGGTTGCTTTAGGAGTTGATTGTTTAGAATTATTGCAACTTTAAAGAAGCTGCAATTTTTTAGGCACTGAAAAAAGGTTATTTTAATAAAACAGGCAGATGTTTCATTAGTTACAAGCAACCTTTCATGTTGTTTGTTTAATTCTAGAGATATAGTACTTAACTTTTTCCTAATTTGAAAAGTAAAGATGAGATATATTGTACCAATACTAGACACAAGCTAAGAAGTGTGTATAAATTCCTACTCAGAGTCTAGATAGCAAAGGCCATCATATCCTCCCTCAGTTATCTTTTTCTTTTTTAAAAAAAATAACACAAACAAGCATTATGGTGAAAAGCAAACAGAACCCTACCCCAAAACCTACAAATATCAAGACATCAAACAACACATACAAATTTGGATAAAATGGAATATATTTTGGAAGCTGTTCAAGCAGCGGCTAAAAGAGATAAAAGGTTTTCACCTTGACTTGTCTTTGAATTCTATAGTAAAAGGTTTCATTCCAAACAGGGTTCTTGCAATTATTTACAGTTTTAGTCTTCAGCTTCTCAGTTGTTGCAGTCGGTAGGCAAAGGGTCACATAACAATCAGAGTTGCTTACTGTATAAGAGGAAAAAAAAGATAATGTTGCCAGTTTCTAAGCCAGCTTCCAATCATATTCAAGGCAGCATAAATAAAAACAAAATGGCTGTCATACAAGAGTCTGTCATTATATCACTGAGTCCGCCCTAAGCTCTTAAGTAATAATCACAAAGCATTTATCTTGAGACACCTTAAAACATAAAGTATGCTAATAAATCAACGTGTTCTGCAACTCTTATATCACATCTTATATCATATCCAGTTATTTAAAGGGAAGTGTCAAAGGGAAGTTTCCCCACCTGTTTTTAAATAACCTGCTTTTGGAGTTTCCATCACTTATCAAGGGGGATTTAGTGAAGTGGAAACCCTCAATCTTTTCTTTTTAAAAAATACAGATTGTGTACAATATACTATGTATGCAGTTTCCTGAAAATTATAGTTCTTGCAAGTTCACATCCTGTATCCATTCCTGTCTACTTGTATGGTGCATTCATGTATCATAAGCATGCATTCCTAATCACAAAGAAGTCAATATGATGAAACATGCAGTGCGATATCACAGTAAAATTCTACCATTTTTTGTTTGCATTGAGACATCACAATGCCAAGTACAAAGGAATGGAATTATCACTGTGACATCACAGTGCATGTTTCATCACATGCCCTTCGCCCCCGACAGATGTTTATACATATTGATAGAGATTGCATGAATAATAGAAGAAATAGCTATAATATATGTATGGCAGCATCAGAATTATACAGTATTTGATAATTATATATGTAATTGGCAGGTGTATTTGGATGTATTAAGGGTCATAGGTTTTTTTAATAGCAATAAAAGTAGTAATAAGGGGGGAAATATGTATGTTTTACCAAAGAAGCATAATTCATGAAGAAGCTTAACAACAATTACAGATAGTTCTCAACTTACAAGAGTTCATTTAGTGACCATTCAAAGTTACAGTGGCACTGAAAAATGTGAGTTATGACCGTTTTTCACAGTTGTGACCTTTGCAGCATCCCCAGGGTCACGTGATCAAAATTCAGATGCTTGGCAACTGGTTCATACTTATGACCATTGCTGTGTCCCAAGGTCCTATGATCACCTTTTGTGACCATTTCACAAGCGAAGTCAATGGGGAAGCCAGATTCACTTAACAACTGGATTACTAACAGGGATTCACTTAACAACTGTGGCAAGAAAGGTTGTACAATGAGGCAAAATTCACTTAACAAATATCTCACTTAACAACAGGAATTAGGGCTCAGTTGTGTTCGTAAGTGAAGGACTACCTGTATGTGTACAATTCAGTAGTCTAACACTCAGCCCATCTGTCTTTGCTCTCAAGGAGTATAGGGAGGAATAAGCCCTAGGGTGATAAAGGGATGGTACTAAACAAATCTGCTTATCCTGCAAATCTGCAATTACATGAGCCAGTTTTGGCACCCTGATCAAATTCTATGTTTCTGCACATTCCTAAAAAGAGAAGCTGACATCACTAATACATACTGTAAATCTTTCTGCAAATTTCAATGCACCCTTACTAGTTATGTACAGTACAAAAATACTGAATATGGCAGGTTCATAAATTAGGACATCTTTCCTGTTGATTGTGTTACTTCTTTAAAAAAAAATTGGAAAGTTGTTAATAAGGCCCAAAATTAAATCATTGGTGAACAAACTCTGGTTACTCCGTTGTATAAGAAGAAAGAGCTCACTCATCATTTGAAAATTAAGTAATTCACTCTTATAGGAGAGTGGAGAAGGCTATTAAAAATCTTTAGCATTTCTAAGTAACAATTCCACTCGTTAATAATATTGTTTCTTAACATTGTTCAGAAACAAAAAAGCAAAAATTATATGACAGGATTAAGATCAAGGCAAGTTTTGGAAGACCAAGTCAAATCTCTGGGAGAAAACTTGTTAGGTCTGTAAAACAGAACCAGCAGATCATGAATAATCATCTGCTGAAAATTTTAGCTGTCCATGGAATAGTTATCCACACGTACAGCTTTACCTATACAATGTGGTCTCCATGGGATAGTTGTCGGGATAAAATCCTTTCTCTGGTCTCATCATAAAAGTCATCATTTAAAGAAGCAGTTCCCAACCTTTGTGGCTTGGCGTTGTAGCAGAGCGGGAGAGAGACGAACTGGGCTGCGTGAATGGTGGCTGGCATGCACACATAACTTGACTTTTGAAAGTTGAGGTGCATTTGCGTGTGCACACATGCTGGCCCAGTTGCAAATAAGCCATGGCTCAGTAGTGGGCCAGGGGCCCTGGGATTAGGGACCCCTAAAGTACAGGGGGGGAAATCTTGAGAAGCTTGAAATATTTTGAAGCAAAGTACTTCGGAATGACCAATTAAATTATTAAATTATAGAACATATATTGTGGGGAAAAGAGTGACATATTTGAAAAAAATAACCTCTTTATAAACATCCAGCATAGGGTGGCTCTATTATGCTTTGTGGTTATCTGGTAATCATTGACAAAGAAAATATTGCACCAAGGGAAAGAAGAAGAAGAAAAATGGATCCAATATATAAATACATCCTATTGGCTAATATCCCACATTCAGTTAAAAAATTGAAGTAAAAAAGAAATTGGATATGTTATCAAGACAACCTCAAAAACATGCCTCTAAATCAAATATTTAGAGGAAAGAAAGTTAAACTTCACATTACCCAGGCTTAAATATTATTGAAAATCTATAGGGAGATTTCAAACATGCAAAGAAATCTAAAAAGATTTCTGACCTGGAAGAGTTCTTCAAAGAAGACTGGGAAAACATTCCAAGAACAAGAATAGATCAGTGGTGGGATTTAGCAGGTTCTGACCAGTTCTGGAGAACTGGTAGCGGAAATTTTGAGTAGTTCAGAGAATCGGCAAATACCACCTCTGACTGGAGAGTTTACAGTATCCTTCCCCTGCCACGCCCACCAAGCCACGCCCACAGAACCAGTAGTAAAAAAATTTGAATCCTACCACTGGAATAGAGCTGTAGTGGTCATATGAAACATGTTAACACCTGAGAAAGGAGGTGTTAAAAAGACTGACTGAAAAGGTTTCCCAATTGCACCTGTTTTTTTACTTTGAATTGCAAACAATTCCACATCACATCCACACCCAAAGACACACACAAATATCTATTCAAAATGATGCTGTATTTCACTTTTACTGTGTAAAATTACGTCAGTTTCTGCTTGCTTAGGAGATTAATTGAAACATACATTTCATTGATTTCTTGATATATGAATATTGCACATCACTGCTCATTTCTACATGCATTGTTCAATAATCTAATGCAAACTACTTACTGTATTTTGAAAACATTTGAACTGTATTGCTCTCAGGGTCTTCTCATTGACATGTTAGTAAGAAGTGATAGAAATTGAAGGCCAAAACATCTGAAATCTATCTGATTTCCTATCTCTATGTGAGAGAGATCAACCCATCAACAAAATCCCTAGGCTTTAGTTACTATATAGGCTGTAATTACTATACAGCCCAGCAGAAATAGCTGATAATCTGGAATGATAAGAGCTGCAGTCAAAAACAAACCTGAGGACCAGTATATTAACAAAGAAATTGATTTCCTGTGTTTCCTAAAGAGAGATTGTCCACACATTAAAGATAAACTTGTCAATCAATTTTATGCGAAAAAGAAGTTGAATGATGTGACTCCTCAAATATCTTATGCCTTAGCATAGTCAGTCTATTTGTGATTTCAAGAACCAACATACTTTCTTACATTTTTTTCTGCTTCACATCTTTTCATGACCTTTGTTGGGTTATTCTCAATCATAGAATCATAGGGGACCTCAAGATTAGTCTTCTTATACAGATTACAAATATTCCTTTCATCCAACTTCAGAATTCGCTAATCATTAAGTCATAAAGGCTACTGGAACATAGATGCAATTCCTTATGCAATAAATTAATCAAGAATGAAATTCTGAAGTTGCTTTTGATCTACAAATGTCTAAATAACAGTGGCTAATACATACTAATAAAATCTGAAACTGTAATAATACAAAGATAACTCACAGACATCAGCCTGGCGGAGATTCCTCAGTCGTATTACACGAACGGTAAGCAAGTTGCAAGGAAATGTTTTCATTTGCTGAAAAACAACATAAGAGTAGAAAACTGTGATATTTTATTATTTTGCTCTGTCTTTTGTTCTTCTTTACTGTGATCTCTTATTTATATCATTTTGGATTAGCCTTGTTGGTCTTTTAATCAGACTGGATCAGATTATTATGTAAGCCACATGGAATCATTTGATTATGATGGGATAAAACATTGATAGATGAATAAAGAGGCCATACATTTGGTTTGCTTGTATTTCCAAAGACATGCTTTTTTAGTTGCAAATGAAAGCAGTTTTTAATACAATATGAAGCTGACTATCATTGCCTGTTTAATTATGAAAAAATTAAATATATCTGGTCAGATTGCTATCACTGATGAGGATCCAAGTTTCAATTTTCATAAATAGAATTACTTGAGATTGTAAAATAAATATAGGGGATGGAAATCATTTTGCCATTTCCTAAGGAAAAGACAGAAGACAGGATTAATAAAAATCCTTTTTGGATTACAAGAGTGTCGGCACTGTCCAAAGCTTTGATTTATACAATTATCCAAATCTAAAGCAAACCAGACAGAAATAGATTTGGTATTTGGCATATTTTTCCCATCTTTCTTTTTGAGAAATGTTGTCTAGTGTTTCATCTTCCAAAATTGACTTTCTTTTCAGCAGCACTCATCATAATGCTTTGGAGGAAGGGCAGTTGTTGAAAAATGACAATTAATTTCTCTCTCTCCTAAAGTGAGCACTTTAGCACAGCTTTATCAATCTTATTACCATGGAGCAACCCTTTAAATTAGTGTTTCTCAATCTTGTTGGCTTGAAAATGTGTGGACTTCAACTCCCAGAATTCCCCAGCCAGCATAGCAATGTGCAAAGTAAAAAAAAATTTTTTTTTTTGTCCAATCATGATCTCTCATGGAACCCCAGCTGAGAAAGGTTGGGAGAAGTGGATGTAATTGAGTTGCTGCCTATTGCATGTCTAATAGGTATTTGGTTGCCATCTCAGCTAATAGGACCAGATGATTTCCATGAGTTTGCCTACTTTTGTTAAATCTATTAATCATACAACACCTTATGCAGAATGAGGAGATATATTATTATCTTTCCCAATCAAATGCAGCTCAAGTATGGAAGTAATGACTGAATTCCTCATGTGACATCGTACAGAACTGTATACAAGTATTTCTTATCAACCTTGATTTTTTAAAGAAAAATATTGCTCATATTTATTCATATTGAACAAATGTTATGTTTGGCATTCATCATTTCCTCTAATCAGGTCATTTGGTCACAATAGTTGTTATGATAACAGGTCACTTACACCCACTTCTCCCAACCTTTCCTTCCTGCCGGTGGAATTTTTGGTATGCAGAAGTCAGTGGGTAACTTCCTATGCACTTAATTGTTATGTACCATTGATATCGTAAATGGATAAAAATACTGTGTGACTTTCATTTGGCTATCCTCATAATAAACCTTAAATGTAAATCCCTGTCATACTATCAAATACATATGAGAAACTGAAGGAGAGAATTAGTGACTCTTTTTTTAGCCTTGCCTGTATTTGGCACAAACCTACCAACTTCATGACCTCATATCATTATTTCCTTGCTCCTAAAAGAAACAAATAGTGCTAATGAAGAGAAAAAAGCTTGAATCCAATAAACTCAAATTTATCCAGCCAATAAGGCATTCTTTTGAAAGGGGTCAACGTTTCATGAACTCTGATTTTCCCCTGCTTTGGCTATCATGCCATGGCGTATCTCCATTCCTCAGCTCAAGAACTGGCAAGCAGCATTGACTGCCACACTGTTTCACTGGCTGGTACCGGATACCTTCACATCTAAAACATCACTTCGACCAGGCCTAGCTGGCTCATAGAACCAAAAAAATGGAATAAATGCATAATTTAATCCATCTATTTTTTTAAGTCCTTCATTAGATATCGTAAAGATACGTTGTCTAGCTTGTTTTTTGAATGAACCACAAATGGGTGAGTTAGCACATGCTATGCTATTCTGAATCCAATCAAAATGCGATTGGTTTAGTAATGTGTCAACCCAGCCATTGAAGTGGTAACATCCGTTACAGAGTATGAGTTGTGTATGGTAAAGAAGTGGCAAAATTATAACAGTAATTAATATCTAGAGCAGTTACATAAAAATTAGCTAAATAACTTGTATTTATTTCATTACAACTGTTGGAGATGAGGTTACCATGATCAGTCTGCTCAAATAGTTCTTTTGTCAGTTTTCATTCTTTTTAGTGATTACTTACCGTATTTTTTGGTCTATAATAATAATAACTTCTATTGCCATTCTCCCCCCCCCCCCAAAAAAAGTGGGTGGAAATCTCTGTGCATCTTATAGACCGAATGTTGCCAAAGCCCCGCCTACCCACCGCCCCCCACCCTTCAGCCTCTGCCTCCAGCAATATGCCTCCTTGCAGCAAACAGCAAACAGCCTGGTCAGCTTCAGCACAGCCTAATTTAGCACAAGCAGCTGATTAGTGGTTGGATTGGCTTCCCAGAATACCAACAATCAGCTGTTCCAGGCTCTGGGGATCACTGCTGTTCATTGCTGTCGCCTCCACCTATCGCCATGTTCAGCAGCAATAGGCAGCGGCGATCCCCGTCACCTGGAACGGGCTGAAAACAGGACATGCGGAAGCTGAAAATGGAGCATGCGGAGATCAAAAACGGGGCGTGCAGAGGCAGATAGGTGGTGGCAGCAATGGGCGGCGACAGTGGCAATGGGTAATGCCGATCCCCACAGTCTGGAACAGCTGATAGGCGGTATTCCAGGAGGCCGATCCAATCAGTTGCTCGTGCTAAATCAGGCTGTGCTGAAGCTGACCAGGCTGTTTGCTGGGAGGCAGAGACAGATTTTTTTCCGTTGTTTTCCTCCCCAAAAGCTACTTGCGTCTTATAGTCTGGAGCATCTTATAGTCCAAAAAAAATATGATAATTCAACTTTTTCTAAAATTAAATGTTCATAGTACCTTGCATTGAGAATGACAGTGTATTTCATCATGTTGGAGTTCGGAGCTTGTGACAGGAGATGCATTTATAGAATTGTCCTGGAAGGGAAAAAGAGTGTGTATATGAATATGTTAAATAACACACACAAAATATTGCTCATATTTATTCATATTGAACAAATGTTATGTTTGGCATTCATCACACACACACACACACACAGAGGTAAGTTGGGATTTTTTTTAATGTAGTACATACACCAGGGGTATCAAACCCGCATCATCATGGTGGCGTCATGTGATTTATCATGACTTTTTTCCCCTTCGCTAAACCAGGTGTGGGTGTGGCCAGCATGTGACGCATCTGGTCTGTGGGCCAAGAGTTTGACACCCCTGTAGTACACAATACATCAAATAAAAACTATTTTAGTAAATATTGAAATTCTGAAATACAATACCGGGGTAGGTGGTAGGTGGTGAAATACAAACTTTGCTTTTTATGTACCTGTGCATGAAGGTGTGGAACTTGCATTGTGACATAAAGATGCACATTTGGCATCATCATAGTTAGAAACAGATACTTTGAGTGAACAGTTGATGCTAGTTTCATCTAGTGGTTAAGGCACCAGGCTAGAAGCCAAGAGGCCACGAGTTCTAGTCTCACCTTAGACAAAAAAGCCAACTGGGTGACTCTGGGCTTTCTCTCAGTCCAATTTACCTCACAGGATTGTTGTGGGAATAGGAGCAGGAAGGAGTATTGCGTATGTTTGCTACCTTGAGTTATTTATATAAATAATAAAGACAGTAAATGAATAAATAAAATATAAGAATTAAAATCAGCACTTTAAAAAATTTCAAAAGGACAATTATCCTTGAATGAAAAAGTTGACAACACATATAAAATTAATCTTGCTTTTTGTAAAATGTGATCTTTAAAAATTAAAATAGTCAAATCCAATAGCTTTCAGTGGAACCTATTTCTAGATATGTCTGTACACAATTGTCACTTAGGTCAGGGATAAGCTATGAAATGTTGCTGAATTCTAACTGCATCTTATACCACAACAGTAAGGAATGGTGGGAATTGAAATCCAACAAAATTCAGTGTTGACAACTAGAATGTAGAACATAGAATAATAGGGTTGGAAAGGATCCTGGAGTCTTTTAATCCAACTCTGTGCTCAAAGAGGAGACCCTATACCATTCCACACAAATGTTTGTCTTATCTCTTCTTGAAAACCTCCAGTGTTGGAGCACTCACAAGTTCTGAAGGCAAGCCATACCACTAATTAATTGTCCTCACTGTCAGGAAATTTCTCCTTAATTCTAGGTTGGATCTCTCTTTGATAACCTTCCACCCATTACTTCTTATCCTGTCCTCAGGTGCTTTGGAAAATAGGTTAACTCCCTCTTTTCTGTGACAGTCCCTCAAGTCTGAAGTCCCTCAAGATAGAAGACTGCTATTCTGTCACCCCTACTTCTTTTCTTTCTTAGACTAGCCATACCTAGCAATCATTCCTTGTATGGTTTAGCCTCCCGAATTGTTATTATCACCATTGCTTATCTCTGCACTCTTTTTAAAGTCTCAGCATTTTTTTTGTATCATGGTACCCAGAACTGGATGTAGTACTCCAGGTGTGTTCTTACCAGTCATTGGTGGTATGCTACCAGTTCGGGGGAGATCTAGTAGCTCTGAGGATCAGCTAAGAATCGGTTCGCTCCAACGATCAGCTGTTTTGGCCCACCCGCCTGCCCAGACTCTAGGCTGTGCTTTATACTTTGTTCTCCAAGCTCAGCTGGTTGGTGCAGCACAGCGGATTGCCATGCGTCAGTTATGTAACACACAGGGATTGCTGGAGAAGCTCATTAGCAAATGCTCTGTGCGTGCACAAAGTGCGCGTTTGGTGCACACACGTGTTTGGCACACACACGTGTTTGCCGCATGCGTGCGCAAAGCACGCCGAACTGGTAGGAAAATCTTTTGAAACCAACCACTGTTACCAGTTCAGTATAAAGTGCTTCTATTACTTCACATGACCTTGATCTGA